TATGGTAGCTGTTTTACACCTGGATAGTGGACTTGACCACCTCGTCACTTAATTATCATACTAAACGCACAGTACTTGTGCGCACGTGAAACATATTGTGTTGATACGTAAATGTTCACGTGCGCACGTAATAGTCGCATTCGCATGTATTAACTAAAATATTTCCTATGTTATTTTATGTAATTGTCACATATGATACGTATATTTATTATCTGAATTTGATTTCATACTATCAGATTAATGCTATAGCAAGGGAGGATATTTTGATTTATATTTCGTGAGAATTATCACTTTATTTTTAGAGATTGCACACTGTAAGAGATTCTATTGTCAACTTACCTAGTTAAACAGTCTTAACAATAAAAAAATATTAATCTACACTATTGTTTATTGAAGGTATTCATTCGTTGCTGAGTTTTTGAAACAATTGAAATTGAAACAAACAATAATCCAAATTTGTTAAGATTAACGTTTTGTTATATAAATGAGAAGTATAGCTGAGTATTCCGCCTTTTACTTAACTGGATATCATTGTGCAAACACGGATCTACATCTGAGTAACGAATATCTGTACTTTTTAAGCCTTTTTTCAAAACGAATTGACTCATACTAACGATGCTAATATACATCGTAAAACGATCAAAAAGATTATGTCAGCACTTTTTTCCCAATACAATGTTATTTTTGTATTAATATATTTTTAATCAATAAAACACTCTTTACATAGAACAAAGATACCATTATCATTTATATTACAGGTGTGAAATAAATATATTCGTAAAGGTTTTTTAACAAAACATATAACTTATCACCCGTCATAGATTAATCATTTCATTTAAATCCTGTGTAAATGGTTGCTTATAAATGACATCTTTATCCTAATAATATAAAATAATTTTGAAATTTGCGTTAGAAAAAAAAATGTATATATATGTATACGCTTAAAAAATGCTTGTGTATAGTCTTTTTGAAAGTTGTGATAACTATTTCACGACACTATTTAAACAGGATTTTGAACTCTCTTTTTCAGATACACACATGCCGAAGAAGATTGTAATATCTGGAGATAACATTTCCTACGTCACGAAATAGACACCGTCACACTGGTCCACGTAACATTCCTATAGATGATTGATATATTTAAGTGCTTTTAAAGAACTGTGTTTGAATGACGAATTTCTGTGAATACGGATTTTTAGTTTTGATGATTATTATTAAAAACTTTCTGTAATAATCAATTTGTGCTATGGACTCATTTTCCTAAAAAAATAATATGTGAATATTAACACGAACAAATGATATGAATATCTTTAAAATATTTTATGGGTGTAATACAAGTGGCTCATAAAAATCATTGTTAAGATAAATAGAATCGAACTTTCAAGTTGGTATAGTTTTTTCTACATTTAAACAGCATGCAATTCATAAAGGTTACGGCTTGAAAATATCGAAACATGTACATGTATAACTCGATCTCTAAAGAAAATATCGCAGTGCGGATTTTCTCCACTGTGATACGTATTTCATGACTCTGTATCGCACCATACCGGTATATCGCCGTTCCGTTGCAACGCTACATTAATTTGTCCCTCTGGAATAAGGCTTGCAACAATATATGACTGTTGTAGCGAAGACATGTTTATTTTGTTTAATATATGTATACATATTGAATATATGTTTATGAAGTAATAAATATTTAAGAGTGACTCGATTTGGTTTTTACTTTATTATTTGAAATACTCCAATTGTGAAGATAACGTTCTTAAGCATATGACTTTACAGTTCCCATTCAAAATGTGTAATAAAACATGTTCTATTGTACAAGTCTGCATTTTGGTCATGTATACGTGTCACTTATATGTAAATACATGCTTTTGATATTATCTGTATCTTCTTTTATCAAGAAAGTACAGTTCTGTATTCCCTGTGGACAACTAAAAAATGCAATTCCGTATATCCCCTGTATATATTGAAAATACGATTCCGTATATCCCCTGTATAGGTAGAAAATATCATTCCGTATATCTTCTGTATATGTAGAAAATACGATTCCGTATATCACCTGTATATGTGGAAAATACGAGTCCGTATATCCTCTGTATATGTAGAATATACGGTTCCGTATATCCTCTGTATACGTAGAAAATACGAGTCCGTATATCCTCTGTATATGTAGAAAATACGGTCCCGTATATCCTTGGTATATTTATAGTATACTAGGGATAGCAACCTTAATATAGTCCGTATACGGGATTTTATTCTCCGTATACTTCAAAAGTACGAACAAATATACGTACATGTATATGGGGCAAATACGGAATTCCGTATATGCCTGATGCATATACGGACTTCCCGTATACCCGGTGTTCCCTATACGGACTCGTATACTTGGTCCGTATATTCGACGAATACATCCCGTACACGCCCGTATATGTCAAAAATACGGGATCGTATATTCCCGTATATCAGTATATTTTTCGCAGTGATAAACGCCACCAGGGCAGGGTTATATTGCAAACAATCGTTTATATAATGCCATATAACCTATCAGGAATATTTATAACGAATTAATAACACGACAAACATCCATTTGTATATGATGAACTGAAATTTCTTAATAAATTGACAGCAGTCGTGTGAATAAAACTATATGCACAACATGATTACCCAATGAAAAACGACCTAACAAACGTTCAAACGTTTGAAGCATACATGCTAAAGTCCAAAGCATGCTTGTCGATGAAATGAATATGTAATTATACTCGGTATAGTTGCTTATATATCACGAAAACAGAAGAAATAGTCCAACTTTAAAGGTACATGAACACAATGTTATAATCCAGGAACTGTCTTTACGGAAATATAGCAAAATAATAAAGATTTTACTCGATATGTTGGAATAAATTTAGTCAACAAGTCCTAGCAATTAATCACTATTTGTTTACATGTTTAGTTCCTTAGCGTATGTTAGACAGAAAAAACCGTTTCCGTTTTGTGAATAGTATGATCACAATGAAGCAAATGAACATACTTAGACTTTTGAAAAACTGTGGCGGTGCGGAAATTTAATGGTATATTCGGATAATTTGGTAGTGTTCTACCGTATCACAAAAAAATATATAAGAAGGTGATTTCACGTAGTGCTTCATTCTCTTTCCGGTTAGGCTGTGAGATAGATTCTATGATAGGTAGGTATTTTGTATTTTTATCTAGCCATCCTTCTAAATAGTCAAATGTATTTAGTTTAATTTTGGTTAATTTCTATCCTTGAGTATTTGGTTATTATTTCACTTGTATTCAGATTATTTACATCGATATTCGGGCTGTTAAACTACTTTTGCTAAAGTAAACTAAACAAATTTTCTTTTTATTGTATGCAAGTGTTGACTTGAATTATTATTATTTATTAAACTAATCTTTGTTAAATACTTGTTTAGAATTAATAAGTTGATAAGATGCTGTTTCAGCTATCTATTGATATTGTTTGAACCATTGATATTGTTTGAACCATTGTGTGAAATGTTGAATATGAGAAATGTTGTAATGCTGTATTAATAATTATTTTTGTAATGAGTTGATGCTTTTTATTAACAAATTCTTCTTTGTTTCTGGACGTTATAGACTAGTATTAACTTGGTCATGAAGAATTGAAAGAAAGACACCAAACGTCAAATTTATATGTATAACAGAAAACTGAGTATCAATCAAGATGAAGCTGAAACCATGTTAGTTGTTGTTCAACCATCCGTTTCCATCTCACACAAGAAAACCCACCGGTAACAAAAGGATCAGGTGTTATGTCAGCAATACGATGCAATGAGATAAGATCTTAAAAGACATCTTTAAAAAGCGGACGACATATATAAAAGGTGATTATACAGTATTCAAATAGAAATGCTTGAACCACCAAACTAGGAAATGATCATTGACAGGTAGAAAAAAAATACATGTACAATACAACAAACATGCACACACAACAAAAATGACGTACTGAAAGATCTTAAATGTCTTTTTAGAACGTTTCTTTGCATGTAATAAAAAGAAAATTTGTTTAGTTTAGTGTAAGATTGAAATATATTTCACCTTGTGAACACCAAAAGTTCATATTTCACTCGTGGCTGCGCCACTCGTGAAATATACCTTTTGGTGCTCTCTCGGTGAAATATATTCCGATCTTACACTGAACTAAACAAATATCCTCTATCTTATCACTGATATATTTCTATAAACGACCGAAAAGCATGTAATAAAATAGTTTTATTAGTTATAGGTTTCTTTTAGTATCTGGTTGAATAAATAGAGAAAAGATCTTCCGCTGTTGTTCTATAAAAAACACTTCAATCATTATGTATTCATTAACCCTCGTTATGTAATTATGATGAAGTATCGTTTTCTTAAGAATTGTCTGCATATTTTTTTTTTAAAAATAATCGTATGATTTGTTAAACTCTTTTATTGATAATATTGATAATATTTTCATTGTAATAATAGCAAAGCAATAAAGCGACTAATTATAATAAGTTTTGAATTATGTATTTATTTCATTACGGTCTGAAATGCCAGATTAATAGTTGATGATTTGATATTAGAAGAGAATAGATATGTACTACACTTAAAAGCAAAGGTAAAACGAAAGTGCGAAAAAAACAACAACACCAACTTATGTCAAATTGGAAAATTCGTTCAAGATAAACGTAAATCATCTCCGTAGGTTGTAATTTCAATGTCATTGTAAAATCAAAGAAATATCGGCCTTATAGGTGTGTTTTTTATTTATTTTTTTATAAGTCGTGTTAAAAGAAGAGGTTAATACCTCAGGCTCACGGTATCTGTGGTGAATTCCGATGCAGTTAAACTAAAGAGCAGCTGAATAACGATCAGGCCTCTATTATTATTTTGCCTATTTAAAAATTAGTTCATTATAAAACTTGAATCGAAACGGTAAACTCAAGAAGAAGTTTATATTTTTGCCCTTAGTTGTTAGTATATATTAAACTCACCAGTATTCAGAACAGCTACAAATCCAAGGAAAAACACATATATAATATGAAATCTCCCCATTTTCCGTCCTGAATGTTTTTGATAAAATTGATAAAAAGGAAGCTGAAATAGTTTTTCTATCAGAGCGATTAAAAGTTTACACCATTTTCGTATCACGTCATGCTAAAAAATGTTATTAGATATGCTGTTCAAGTAGATGTTACGCATGAGGAAATATTAGAGAATCTTGCAAGAGTAAAACATTAGTAACAGGTTGGTTAGCGATTTTCAATTCGTGAATTCGCAGATATTTCCGCCTTGCTTACCAATAGTTGAGAACAATAAATAAATAAATAAATAAATTAAAAACATTAAATAAATAAATATATAAACAAAATTTTTTTGTAATTATGTTAACAATTATAATTTTATTTGATTGAAAATGCTGTGCAATTTATATTATTAGGTATAAAGATTATTCACAGGTTATATGACCATATATAAACGGCTATTTTTAAATATGACCCGAGCCACTCTTTTTAACGAATCTATAATACAGCAAGCATCATTCATTAGAGAAAAAAGTAAGATTTCTCCATGAATCGACAGCAGCCATGTATATAAAATTATATAAAGGTCACGATTATCCAATGAAAAGCGAGGTTACAAACGTGCAGTATTATAATGAAACATAAAGTCAATTCAGGTCACCTTGGCAATATGTTTTTTTTTTTTTTTTCAAATTTAATTTAATCAAAAATGATATGTTATAAGTAATACATTTTCCCCAAACTCATTTTTATTCGTTACATGTCAAACCAGTTATAATGGTCAGGATTAATCTATATAATCAGGAAGTATCCGAAACCGAAGTGGAGCAAAATATTTATGATATATTATGCAAATGCCGAACTGAAAATTTTAAACTATGTTCGGCAAAAACAATAGCAATATAAAAATGCATTAAGTGAAACATTGTTAACAATGGAACGGACCAGAACAGGGGTTTGCAAATGATCTAAGTCCATGGACACAGCCATTTAGTTTATATGTGTCTAACTTGTTAAAAACACAGAATATACATAGTATCTTTACCTAACTTGACTTGTTTCCTCTCTCTCAGACTAACATTGTATTGTCAATATATCAAAACATTGCCGAACTTCGACAGAACAAAAATCTACACTTCCTCCGCCATCGAAAGGACAAAAGAAAATCATGTCATGATAAAACTATATATGTTATAAATGAATGCCATATAATATTCTATCATTGTTACAACTCGTATTATTAATTATTTGTAAAATCAATAAACAGTTGAGAGTTTTCTAGGTTAAATCGTGCTTACGTTTTACATTACTATGAAAAGGGAAATAATCAATGTAACTTTAATTTACATGTTAAGTTGACATTTGAGTTGACATGTTTAACACCCAAACGTTCAAAAACTTTCTGTACATTGTGAATTCATACATGTATTATTTACTTTACTGCTTATGAACGTCTTGTTAAAATAAACTTGTTAAATAGAATATTAAAATAATAAAACATGCCTGCATGCATAATGATTAAAATAACTTTTTATAAACATACTAGCACCCAAGTTATTCAGACTGGTTTATTTGTAATATTTATAACGCGACAAAAATAAAACAAATACAACAAAGACGAAAGCGGTGTTATATTTAAAAACATGTAATGCTTTATAAAAATATTTCATGTAATAAAGTGGTGTTATTCTGCTATTGTTTCCGTATGTATGTCAGATTACCGCTTTGAAAAGATAATATCAATTGTGTTGTATAATTCAGGCTGTTGACAATAAACTTTCTTACTTGTACTTGTTTAAACTTTAACTCAAGTTTATTCATGAGGTCAATTGTTAGTTTTGTAAAGAAAAAGAAAGTCTACTTTGTTGAGGAGTTTAACTTTGATGTCGGTCGCAAGTTTCACATTTAGTTATCTATAATGCCATCAATGGTGAAATAGAAAAAACAAACGATGGTATAGTATATATTAAATCAGTAAACAGATATATAAAGTCCGGAAGACAGCAATGAATAATAGAATTATGATAGTTCAATATTTATGTAAATCAATCAACAAATGTGTGACAGCTACCTATTTAATATTGACAATTATTTAACACAATTTGTTTTGATATATCTTTTTATGATGGTTCGGTGAACTTTTTCGATAAACGCCATTCATGGCAAAATATATATTTAAGCTAGTTTGTAAGCAGGTTTAAAGACAACTCTCTTCAATATAAAATATGTTTTAACTTGTTCAAAATGTAACATACGGTTTAATGTTAATATAACAGCAGAAATATCGAAAAAATGAATAGTGTCAGGGTATGTAAAATATAATTTCTTAAGACCAAACAAATTATTTTCCGTACATTAATATCTGTTTATGAGAGTTAACTTTCTAAATTAATGCTCCATGCGTTCTTATTTGTACATCTATTTGTAAGCAGTAATAGCTCACGACTGTAAGCACATGTCATTGTAATAAAAAGTTCCCAATTTAAATGTAAATGATCCATATACAATGTCTAGACATGTGTAAAACGTAGTGAATTTTTGATAAAAATTGTACTTTTTGTTTGCAAAACCAAAAATGTTTTATTGAATTATTTATTTACGGAAGATACGAGTCCAATTTTTCTAAAGAAGATTTTGTGATATGTTGTCTGTTGTTAAATTTGCCTTTTGTAATATGTAGGCTTTCTAACATTCTACCCCTCTTCAAAGTTATACTTTATTTAGTTTCGTCATTGTTTTTCCCTCTTCCCCTCTAGGGAACACGTATTATAAGTAGAAGCCAATCGACGCTTTTTATGGAATGGCAGTATCGTTAGAAATTGAAGGTTTCGTAAAGAGATCATGTAATGAGTTGATGTTTTTTAATTCGAAATTGTACCACTTCATGTACATTTTTATGCCCCCACAAAGTGGGGAGCATATAGCGTTGCACTTGTCTGTCCGTCCGTACGTCCGTCTGTCCGTACGTCCAGAAATTTTGTGAACGCAACTCCTCTTAAACCGGATTATAGATTTTGCTTAAACTTCCAGGGATGAACAACCTTAATGTGTAGATGGTAGTGAGGGAAGGAATTTTTGCTGCGACCAAATTTAACAGAATTATGGTCCTTTGTTGATTTTTTCACTATATACCATATAGAAATTTTGTGAACGCAACTCCTCTTATTTAAACCGGATGGCAGATTTTGCTTAAACTTCCAGGGATGAACAACCTTATTGTGCAGATGGAAGTAAAGGAAGGAATTTTTGCTGCGATCATATTTAACAGAATTATGGCCAATGGTTTAATTTTTCACTATATACCATGCATATAGAAATTTTGTGAACGCAACTTCTCTTTAACCGGATGGCAGATTTTAATAAAAAGTTCCACATAAAAATCTTACATACAGATATGCATGCTCTTGTTTACGAGCACATATGCACAGTGGGTGCATCCATGTACTTTGGACACAGTTCTAGTTAATTCTACTAAAGCTAATACTGGGGGAGATGGGCGTGAACGGTAACATGAACTGCCCAGTACCGTCCATGAACAGGCTTAATTAAACCGAGCTTGCAACATTTACAATTTATCCGTTTTTTGTGTTTTTAGGGATTCTTTTCTCTCTCCCATTTTTATATAAAAAAACAACAATATTTTAAAAAAGAAACAATTCTTTGGGATATTTTACTGCTTATTATTTGGAAGGTTGGAATGTTTTAAGGTAGTAAACCACTTATTCACTATATCCACTTTGAAGAGTATTCAAATAGGCTAGAATCACTGTCAACTGCATTGAACCTGAGGGGCATGGGTTCAAACCAATTTTCAAATTTGAATAAGATTTTTTGCATAAGAAAATGGTCAAATAAATCTTTCAAGTGGGTGCGGTAGGGCTTCATTTTTTTACATATTAAAAACATTTTGTTTACAAACAATAATTTTGCTCGTTTAAGTGTTGTATCTAAATGTTATCATTTGTTTCTTAACAATGAATAATAGGAAAACATTTTCAAAATGATGATATTTTAGTTTATTCAAAGTTTCCTCATTTCTGAAAAATAACACTCCTTCTAATAGCAAGCTTTTAGTTCAGAAAATGTACATAATTCATAACCCACACGGTCAATTTTGTTTAGATTTTGAATTCAGGTGACATATAAGGCATACATGTATAACTGTCTTATGTTGTCAATTTAACAGTTCCTTACAGTGCTCATTAGGTATGTTCTAACTTAAGTCTTATTCGGTTTATGTAATAAAAAATCTACATGTGTGACTTTCTATATTGCATGTTGAAGGTATTGATTAAGACAGTGATAAAAAAAACTAATGAAAGATACTTTATGCATTCTTAATATCATTTTCTGTCACACAAGGTATTTACATGGAGTTATCAAATATATTTAAAAGTCAACGGGCAATATTCCGTTTTAGCCCTTGATCTATTTATATTTATTTCGTGACTACGTCAATTTCCTATAGTATTGAAACAATATCACATATATCATGACATGTCAGAAAAAAGATTTACTCCACTTCAGTAACCTTTATTTTTAAAAATGAAGGTTTATTTGTATGTTTAGATAAATGTACAGTTTAGCCCATAACATAAGTAGATTTAATCTTCCGGTTACATTACGATATATATATTTAAATGTGAACACACTTATTATCTTCGGTTTAAAAAGAAACATAACTTGATTGCAATGATTATTACTTTGGTTTTGGCTTACTTGGAATTAGCGTATGCAGGTACTGAAATTATGATTTCTGATTATACATTAATAAGAGATAATTGATTTAGAATAAACTAATAAGCCTTGTATTGTCATGTTTCCTTTTTGAAACATTACTTATATGTTTTGTTTAACACAGATCTTTCTTAATGTTATGAATTCAAATAGGGTTATAAAAACTATTTTTTAATCTTTAAGCATTCGAAAAAACAAATAGTTATTTGTTGCTAATGTATGACCATCATAATGCATTCAAATATTCAAATAGGCTAGAACTACTGTAAACTACATTGAAACATAGGACCATGTGTTCAAACCCCAGGAGGGTCAACTTTTTACTATACTTCTCACTGTGCGGATTTTCCGTGATACGGTGCTTCCATCCAATATGGAGGAAGGTAAACAACTAAAAGGTGCGTGTCATTTTATTTCCTTGCATTCAGGCGAATCCGTTTTATATAGAAAAGAAGAATATTTGCATGTAACGTAAAAATAAATTCAGTATAACATCTATAAGTTCACAATGTATGTTACATATGATATTATACTCGAACCTTTTAGTTGTTTAGATTGGATGGAAGCATCGTATCACGGAATATCTGCACCGTTTCACGTACCCGACAGTGAGAAGTATAGAAAAAGGTGTTGTTTTTTTTTTTTTTTTTTTCATCGTTTAACATTATTTATGTACTCTCATGACCCTTTTGGGAAGGAGAAATATTTGAATTTTAAATTCATTAATATGTGTGTTTATTGGCTAAAAAACGGGCACTCTTTAAAGTATGTTTCGGTCTTTTAAAATTAGGCTCTCCTAGAAGGAAATGGTCAAATACGTGTTAAAGTTTGTTGGGTATAAATGTCATAAGTTTTGGGTAGAATCAATTATTCTGCTTATGTCGATCGATAGCTGAATGTTACATTTTGTTTCTGACCAAAATTTAATGGAAAATCATTTTTCATAAAGATGATATTGTAGATTATTTAAAGGTTTCATATTTTCTGAAAAAGGGCCCTTTTTACATACAAGATTAAGATAAGTGACCTTAACACGATTTACGTACGGTCAAGTTTGTTTAGATTTTGCATACAGGTGTCATTTAAAGTAAATATCGACTTATAATGACAATTTTTCAGTTCCTTATAGTGTCCGTTATGGTAGTCATACCTTAATACGTTATAAAATCTTTGTAATATTAACTTTTAAAAAATCCTTGTATTACTTTAATTCGTGTACGTGTCGGTATTATTTTATATGTACATGTTTGTTACATTATTTTATATGTACATGTATGTTGCATTGTTTTATATGTACATGTATGTTACATTGGTTTATATGTGCATGTATGTTACAAAATTAACGTATCGCAACGTTTGTTACGCTATAATTATCACGTCATTGTTATTATTATCCTGATGAAGGTGTTGTTCATCGAAACGAGTCGAAAACGAAATAATAATATTTTGAAAAGCTGTACGTGTTGTTGTTGTTGTTGTTTAAGCGTCGTTTTAATATTAAATTTCAAATAGAAACATATCATTTGATTGATAAATAATTAAATATTGTGTCTTTTTCATAGTTAATAAGACAATGCATAAAAACACGCATAGCCATTCGTGTAAGAATCACAAGAGATTTTAAATATTAATTTATAAAATGAACAACTGAAAAGCCCGTAATTTACTAAGTCGGTTGTTTATACCCAATTCAGATTTTTCTCCCTTTTTATGAACACTTTAAAGGCGGGTTATAAAGTAAATGAAATACGTAATAATTCCTTACAGTTTATAAACATTTTAAATCAATATTATACGGATCATAGTTCATATAAAGATATATGTCCTGCCGCAATATTTCGATAATTTGATATTACCACATTTATTCAGAAAATCACGTATTTATATAAATCCGTAAGAAAATGCAAAAACAAACTAAATCAGATATAAAACAGTACACAAACAAAACAAAATGTTGTACTTCTAGTTTCATTAAAATAGTTTTACACTGTAAATTTCATAAATATTTACTCATTACTCGACAATTTTTTTATTTGTGTACGTTTCAGTTCGCGTGGTAAAGTTCGGTTTGTCTGAAGGCAATGTACCAGAGAAAGGCAGAGATATATCAATGCTATGTGAGGTTGAGATTTCAGCAGAGGATGGAATTCTAACATTAAACATATTGAAAGGAGACACAAAAATTGCTGACTGTTTTATGAATGCAGGAAATCTACCATGTAGTAAGGTACATGGTGTTTCAACAAGATACACATTCACAAACAATCAACCATCTGTGATTATCTCAATAACAAATTTACAAAAAGCAGATGGTGGAAACTGGTACTGTGGTTTTCAGACGACAGGCAATCAACTGTTCACCTTGATGGTCTATAGTAAGTACTGATTATTAAAACTTACAGCATGAACGAAACATTGGGGGAAAGGTTGAAATAGCAGGTTGAAAAAGGTGAAAAAGCAGGAATTTCAAAATTCTTTCAAATAATAATAAAAATCCTCATTGATTGTCTCGGAGATAACCAAAAGTAAGACCTTCAAATATTTCGTTACCTAAAACTTTTGGGATTACTTTCGAGATCATTATATTTTTCAACCTAGAGTGTACTTATTTACATTACGCATCATTACATTACGTTACTTTACCATCTTTTTACAGATCTTTTGTAAATATATATTGCGGCATCAGCGGCAATTCAATTCATAATTTTAGAGTGTAATATCTACAATTTCTAAATATATTTCTTGTGTTAAATAATGGTAAATAAATGTGTTTAACAATTTTGAATGATTAATGTTTGTTTATCTAAATTGTTTTAATTGTTTGACAGACTTTCTTCTAAGATTATTAAAAGAAAACGTCAGGGTTAAAAGAACAGAAGATACACACGGGTTATTTTAAGGTCCTTAAAGAAAAATGTATTATGGGTTTTTTTAATTGGGCCCAATTTTTTAAGTCACAATTTTAAATTTTTGAAAGAGTCGATATAATAAGATCAAACAAACAGTAAAATCAATTACAAATAAGCAGAAAATTAAAAACGAAAATTTTATTTGTAAAATGTTTAAATTTAAAACTGTATGTTAACCCCTTTTTGGGTATAAAGCAAAAAGCGGGTTTGTTAAACAAACTCAAATAAATTAAAACAAAATTTTGGGGTCACAAAGCGATTTATTTATTTTAAAATATTTACCTTTCTTTGAGTAATGTTTTTGGTAAAACTGTATAAACTTTGTCTTATTTATCGGACTGTTTTTTTAAAATGTGCTGTTAATTTTTGTTTAAAACGGGCTCCCGGGTGGTGGGTTTTATTGAGTGGAACACAAGGGCCAGAAGATCTATCTATAAAAGGAGTAGATTTTACTTGCCAAACCTCAAACTGTATTTATCCTGCGCCGTTAAACTACCAGTGGTTTTACAAAAGTGTGCGTATAAATATTATTTGACAAGAAAAATTTAGCCTTCAAATAGAATGCAATATTTCGCAAAAGTCTTATTAAACGATTAAATCAGCGGATATGTTTTTATGAGATTTTTATCGCAGCGTTATCTTTTTTTAATTTTATAGAACTTAAACTGTACAGTTTGTGAAATTTTTAGAAATAGATAGATTGAAAGTTCTGCTTGCAGACTTTATCATGATTCGGAATTTTTTCTTATTCTTACTAATATGGTAACAATCATACCAAAAACATAGATTAATTAGCTGCAATGTTTCATTTTTTCCAGGGTTTCTAGGATGTTTTTAATTTCAAAACTTTCCTTTTCATGTTAAAATGTTGAATTTTGCTAAAGCCGGTGCTAGGTGGCGTTGACGGAAACTTGCACTTTACAGTACTGTCCCTGATCAGGCACAATCAAACCGAGCCTGCAACATTTTCAATTTAGCCGTGTTGTGTTGTGCTTTTTCTAGGGGTTTTCTCCATTTTAACATTTGAAACGAAAGGGCTTAAAAGTGTGCAAAGCACTGAACTATATTTTCTTTGCTGATTTCTGCTAAAAATGAAATTGCGATAAAACAGTTATAATGTATGTTATAATTAGATAATGAAAATCGTTAGCTACGGGGGTACAACACTGGCTTGGGCGACATCTCGTGAAATTTATTAGCAGAAAATATGTTGATGTCGCCTCGGCTAGTGGTTTTTATCTTTTTTCGGGGTAAAACTGGGGGGGGGGGGGGGGGATTTTTTTTACGTTTTTTTTTTTTTTCTCTTTTTTTCATATACTATACCCAATTACTTATTAAAAAGTTTTTAGGTTTAGTACCCATGTTCTGTTTTTTGCTGCGGTTAAATTTGCCGGGAATAAATAAAAAATTTAGAAATTTTTTTTAATTAAAGGGGCCCTAAAAGCCAAAATTCAAGACAAAAAGTATTTCCCAAAAGTTTAAAATATCGTTTTTTATTTTGGGATGGATAGAAAGAAGTTTCTCTATTCCGGGTTTATCTTGGTTTGTATCAAATTCTTTCCTACACATTGCACAAAAAAGTAGTGGGAAAGAAAAAAGGTTTTCATTCCAAAACTAAATTTTTGGGAAAAAAACACCCTGTGGCCCTTAAACCGGGTTTTTCGCAGATATCCTGAAGTTTCCCGGGTAGGCTTGATTTTTTTTAAACCCCGACGCACCCGTTCAATCTGTGTTCCCTAGTTTTTCCGGGTATGGGGGTAAATTTAAAGGAAAAAATTAATGACAAAATAAATTTTTTTGGAAAAAATTTTTTTAAAAATTTTAAAGCGAAATTTTTGTGTTTCAATGGTACAGTTTTCATTTTTACGTTTTTTTGAAAATTTATTTAAAAAGGGAAATTTTTAAAACAGAAAAGTAAAAAATATAAAACAGTTCTTTTAAGGGAGTAACCCCATTAAAATATCGAGTAAGGGTTTGCCCTTTTTAACATGTAATGGGTTTTAAAATTTTTAAAAAAACCCTTTTTTTTGTCTGGAAATTTTTGGAACTAGGGCATCCCTATTAAACTGACTTTTCCAAAAACAGGAAATAAATTTTTATTTTAAACTAATTTCTGTCCGGGTTTTTTTTAAAATTTTTTTTTATCTTTTGTCAGAAACATATGTCAGAAAATTGTGCAAAAAGAGTTTCATATTGTCCCTGCACTTGTTTTGATAACGCGAATTTGATTTGCTAATTTTCTTAATCACAAGTTCTAACGTTTTGACATCGATAATAATTAAGTCTTTATTAAAAACTTTTGACTTTGAATTTCTTAGATTGCCTCTTGTTGTTACAAGGTGTAAATCTTTTTTTTTTTTCTTTTTTATATTTTGTTTTAATTTCGATTCCCATTTAATCTATAGACCTTTTTACGATACGATATTTCCATAGTAACAGATGTTTCATTTCGCATTCTGCGTAGGGCAGAGAGCAATAAAGAAAATAATATATTATATCAGTACTCGGTAATCAGTAATCAGTACAATTTAATGTAATCTAAAAGATCAACCATTAGTTTAGAATAGTTAATTGTGATAAATAACGGTAAATATGTACGAAGCATTCCTCGTGACATTATTATTGAAGCACTGAACTTCTTAATTAAATGTCGTGAATATGATATGTGTTGGCAATATTCTCTTTCTATTCTCATACTTGCATAAATTAAAGTTATGTCATCTGGGAGACAGTATTTTTTTGGATGACTTAAAGAGGTAAGTTAACCGTGCATTTATATTTATAACAGATAAGATAAAATATGCGGGACTAATATTTCAATTATCAAAAAGCGCATGCAAGCCTTCTGTTTAAAGATTAATTTGACGACTTTTTCATAGAAGCAGCAGGGTGTTAATGATAAAATTTTATTTGCCCTGTATTACATAATTTTACACAGTTGGTACTGGTTATGTGGATTGGCAAAGCGGTAAGTGTCAAACAAATTGACACATGACCTGTTGTTTATTCTGCTTAGTTTTGAAAGTCATTCAACCGGTACGTTTTAATACCATAACGTATCATTTAGAATTATGATCATCGTATTTTAAACCAATCTCATCAATTTTCGGAATTAATTTTGTGAAGTGACAAATAGTATGACGTGCATTTATGTTACTCTAAACCGGATAAAATGTGTGTTATTTCACTACGCAAGCGTTTGTAAAATTATTTGACTTATTCTTTTTATGTTTGGCATCGCAGTCAAATTTGATAAAGGATAAAGTTAAGTAAACTCTGTATTTATGGCAGCCTTGGCCACAAAGTTTTAAAGGCATCTTTGTGTAAAGTTTTATTTTATATATCAATGTATACATTTTACCTTTAACTTACTCAGAATTGTACATGAACTTTCTACTACATTTTTATTTAGTACTTTTTGCCCTGCGCAGATTGCGCATGCGCGAGAATATGCTACATCCGGTCGAATTTTGATAGCGTATAAAGGTCTATAGAAATAAATAATTGTATATTTTTACAATCAAGGACATGCTTTAAGTTGCACTTTGTTATGTGCTTTGCCCCTTATATGGTTTTGTGATTACGAAAAATATTTTAACTTTCAAATTAAAAGTTAAACGAAATGTGTTGAATCGCACAGTGACTAAACGGATATTGTAAAGGATATCCTAGCACTAATGTTACATTTTTCACCATTTTCAAATATTTGCTTTCCTTCCTATTCGTTATCCACAACAGAATGAGCTCCCAGCCTGGATCATTCTTGTTTTTTTCACATTATTCAAATATCAATCATTATAAATCATCTTTCAGTACAAGTAACGTCAGTCACTCTCAATGATGAAAACAAAACTCTATCAAGTTCTGAAACAATTGTAATGATAAATGGATCAAGTAAAACATTTAGATGTACAACTGGCACTAGCAGACCTGTGTCAACAATTGTCTGGTATGTTGGATCAACTTCAGTACAACGAAGCACAAGCACAGCATTTACATACACTGCAGGACTTGAGGACAATAACAAAACTCTGTGTTGTAAAGCATTCAACATTCAGGATGAAGCAAATGCTGTATCATCTACTACTCCAAGTTTCCGGATTTTAGGTTTGTGCATTTAAGATTCTTTTTCTAATTCATACATAGCAGAGTCCGTTTGAATTTATTTAAGAGTAGTATTGAGTTTCTAGAATGACTATGTTCCAAGTTTGATTAAACAACATAGCCATAAAGTCAAAACAAGTCAGAGACTTTAAAGTTCATGAGTTTTTAACGTGTTTGGAAGTAGAAGGACATGCTTTATACATATTATGAAATACTCTTATCATTTGTAGGTCATACAAATACACGTGTTTCGGACTTGGCCATGCATAAAATGTCCAGAAATAAAATGATTTTCGTACCTAGGGGTTGTTTTATAAAATGATGAAACAGTTTTATTCTGAAACCTTTATGAACAGTTCAATGTGATCAATAGTTTTAATTATATGTCTAAATTATGTTGGAACACGTCTTTTATTACAGAACGAACAATAGTAAAATCGTTCTACATAGGCCAGAATGAAAGCAAAACAAATGCCACATTTGACGAACATGGAGTTGATATTCAATTCACATGTGTAGTTAGTGGAATTCCTGCCTCAGAGGTTTATATACTTTTCAGAGAGGAAATTATTGCAAAGCAGTCTAATACAAATGAATTAGTTTACAACCTTCAAAATATTGGTTGCACTAAAAGTGGTATTTATGTCTGCAAGGGAATCGATGCTTTTGGTACTTCAACAAATAAGACGTCTTCTGTATATATAGAATGTAAGATTTTATTCAAATGTTTAAATAAGTGCTGAATCTTTTTACAATACCTAGTATATGAGGTGACTGGAAATAAAAATATTTCGTTTATTTTCTCCTTACAGATACAAGTATAAATATCTGAAAAAAGTGATCAATTCTCAACACTTAAAAGTGCTGGACTAAATGATCCTGTAGGACCAGAAAAAATATAATAACACTGAAGTGTTATTTAACTATAGCTACGATTTAATGTTCTTCTAATTTGCTTATATGAACATTGCCTCTTTAAATTAATGCTGAAATGTACGCAAATTTAAATAGTTATTTTCAAAATCAAAATCGGTATGTAAGTGTAATTCTGGTATCTAAGGAGGAAGGTATAATTTAAAATTGACTGATTGCATAAATGGTTGGATATCTATGTAGTGCTTGTTTTTGCAAATAATATTTTTCTTTTTTCTTTTCAAATACGCTTTTATTTATTTACTTAACAACAGGTTCTCCGCGACCATTACGACAAGTTTTTCACAATGTGACAAGCAGGCTTGGAGAACCAGTAAGGCTCTCATTCATAGCTATCGCCTACCCGGAACCTGGTCCCAAAGGATTTTCATGGTCCAAGGAAGACAGGCATAATTGGGTTTCTTTATTGAGTAACGAAGATTTTCAAATTTCATCATCTGGATTGAAGACAAATTTAACAATCTTGAATGTATCTCAGGAACATTATGGGAAATATCGTGTAACTACTGTAAACAGAATCGGTTCATATGACCAGATAATGTTTTTATCAGAGACATCACAAACAGGTATTGTATTTATTGTCTTTTTTATCATTATTCTTGTTTTTGTAGGAATCAAGCATTGTTTGCCTGTAATCGATTTACTTCGCTTTTTAGTTTCGGTGATCACCAACATTTTTGAAACAATAGAGAGACCGCATACATGGTGACATTAAGATTTGTGTAATATCGTTGGTGCCCAATTGCAGAAACGTTCTTTAATGTTCAATTATGCCAAAATAATACAGTTCTAAGAGGTACATTATATAATGAATTGCCATTAATAATACATTGTGGTCGACAGTAACGTGTAAATAGTTATTTATTCTAATGTGTTTAAAATCAGATCACAAACCTGACATCTGCAAATGTGGTACAGAGACAACAACGTTCACAATGTCAATAATACTCGGGGTAGTATGTATCGTTTTGGTTGGATATGCAACAGGTCTAACCATATTGTACAGACGGAATATATCTAAGAAAGGTAAGCTTTTGTTTTTGCAATGAAATATACTATTTTTTGTTGTTTTTTTTTTATAAACATATTAATCAAATATGCATGTTTTGTTCGATTGATATTAAATTAATTTAGGTGCAGACAAATCAGCAAACAGTTATTTATATTTTAGGTACAGCGTCTATCATACATGGATCTAACCATAAAACGTAAGTCGTACTTTTATATTCGTACTTTCTTTTAATTTCTGCAAATCTTTATTGTTTTATTCTTTTCTATTTGCACCGTAAGTCTAGTAATGTTCACTGAAATTTATCTGTGCTTAAAAGTTGACGTTTTACTGTGCTAATAAACATCAATCGATACCTTTTGACAGCAAAACGAATATGGTTTAATTCATCAAAATAAATAAATTTAATAAATCAATTTCAGTGGGAATGACAACACTAGGAATATAAGCAATATTATCGAAGTAGAACACTATGAAAATAATGCAGCAGAAGTTGACGAGGAACCTTCTAAACAATATACAGAGCTTACACAGTATATAAACGACGGAACAACGTATGAACAATTACAAAATTGAATAATACGTAAACAAACGGTTTCTTTGTCAGAATTACGCTACGGTTTTATCTGAAAATGACCCTGACTATACGATTAACGTTTATGTACTTATTGCTTATGTTAAAACATTTGTAATTGATAACGAATATCTGTTGAACGTTATAACGCATAAAGCTTATCTAATAAAAATCTATCTAACATTTGGAATTATTCTGGTTTTTAGCTTGTATTTTCTGGTAGTGTAATGAGTATATGAACATATTTGTAAAAGTTGAGTCTGTTATATTATTTATCATTACAATATTAAAAAGACATTATGCTTATTTGTTTTCACTGTCAAACTAGGAGGAAGTAGTTGTATATTTCAAACTATTGACTATTTTAATGGTGATCGAACAATAATTGATGTTTAAAAAATGTTAAGTTAAAATATGAAAACAAGCTTAATTTTGAAATGAAAATATTGGACTTAAATAAAACAGGAAAACCGTTTAAAAAAACATACACATGTACATAAATGTATCTAACATAGTCTGAACCGAACACATTGGAAAAAACACAGATTCATGCATGCGCAGTAGAAAAACACTATTTCAGAAATTAAGGTGTAGCAGAGTATTGCATAATAAACTATTTAACAAAATGACATTAAAAACTTATTAAACAGCCCCACCCTCGGCCAAGACAAAACTTCGTAAAAGGGACGCCCCTCCGGGGTCGCCCATAAAAAACTCGCAAATTTTGACATTTATAAGACGAAATACACATATCTGATCACATTTTTCAATAATTTCAAATAAATAACTTTTGATTTTAAGCATATTATTTATTTAACTCCATGCTTTTATATCAGATAGCATTTAATACTATTTGTTGAATAGTATCTATTAATTATTTTCGTCTTACAAGATAAAGATATTAAGTTTTTTATTTTTATTCATTTAGTTATATGTCATTTTTACCTGTTTTCACTTCCATTCTTTCATTGCAATTATTTCGCCTTTGAACATTATATAAGCTTGAGGCAGATTTTCCAAAAATAATACGTGCCTTGAATGTCAACATCATGTTTAGCTTGAATTTCATTCTGTCCTAAGTAGAACGATTTTATCGATATGCGTTCTGAAGTAAAGGACCGATTCCAATACATTTCTATATAATATATAATGAGAGTATTTATAACATGGAAATGTTAGACAAATGGGCCGTGACGTGATGTGACATTTCAAACAACCGAACACATTGGAAATGAGGAAATGCAGGTCAAATGACGTATTCATTGAAACGCGACGTCAATATTCCTAATGATATGACGCGCGCTTTTCCAATCAGCGCTGTGCAGTTTTCAGTAAATAATAATCTGATACATTGTATATCATTTTTCAGACATTTGCCACAATAAGCTTTTTAATCTGTATAATCATGTCAATTGCATACAGATAATACGGCCAGTGAACAGAACATGTAAAACATCGATAGATATTTGACATCGTCCGTAGCATATTCTAACGAAAATGTGCATTAAAAAATATCTTTATTTGTATACAAATATACAACTCAATACGGTCAAGTACGTTAGGTTCGTTTTTGGCCCATTCATTTTTGATTATTCTTTCTGTTTAACACCCGTATACAATCATGTACGAGTATTAAAATCATTTCAGCATATTTCGTGCCTGAAGTATACACATTTTTGAACTCTACTGATCAAAATAACTTCTACATGTACTATTCATCTGGTTATACAGCGAATAATGAAAAAAAAAGCGATGGACGATTTGATCAGAAGGTTTTGTTTTCTGCTTTTATTCTGAATCCTTTTAATTTCAATTTCACACTGTTGTTATCTTTATCATAATGATATTTTAAAATAATCATAAAAAAGAATTATACTGTATAAAAGATGTTAATTAACTTAAAAATCGAACGTACTACCTCTCAAATCCAAAGCCCACTAAGCTATCGTTTCAAACATAACTGTTGCTAAACAATACGATGTGAAGAGTATATTGCATTTTGTCAATAGTTTGCGTTGTTATTTGAGACATACTCTATCAAATCATTGTAATAGTTTATAAGTGAAATTCTTGATATTTGTTTCGAACCCAAATTACTTGGAGTATATCACTCGTACTGTTGTTAACCGATTAAAAATATATTTATTTATTTTTGTGGCCTATGTATTAATTTATGACTCCGTAAATTACCTTATAAATTGTGTATCTTGTTCTGTAAAGTATATTTCTAAACTCTGAGATAATTACTTGAATCACTTAACTAAAAAGAAATATAATGACTGATTTTACAGTATTTCTTTTAAATTACTATATTGCCACTACGTTACTAACACAGCAAGGGCTATTTTTGCATATTTTGACCTCTTTTTGGTAATTACATCGGTTGTCAGTGCCGTTTGCAATGTGTAAATTATTTCTTGTTCACTTCAAAGTTACTTTTTAATATATTTTCAATATTTTCATAATAATAAGCAAAAAGCTTGAAGTGCACTGATTTAAGGAAATGCTGTCATACATGTAGCTACGCAGTTTTTAAAGTGCATGTTTATATTATGTCTTTGAAATGAGAAGATTCTTGAATGGGTATAAAAATGCTTTCTCATTTTTTTTTCTGCAAACTTATAATTTGTGTATTTTGTGCTCATTCATTACTTAAGTATGTAATGAAAGCCTGGCGACTTCCCACAATCTTGATTTATTTCGCACGGACTCATTTATGACATTATCTTGTGTAACAGCCGTACGCTGTTAATGCGTTAACGATTGTGCATCGGTGTTCATGGAAAGCTGTCACGTGATCAGAATTTTGTTATTAGTATGTTAAGTATGATACACCATGCGTTTCCAGGGACGACGTTATAAATCTAACTAAGGGACAAACAAACGGACGAGCGACCATCTATCGGCAATATACATAAATAAAAGTCGTTGACAATATAACATTACCCAGATACTGCGTGCGCTTAATGCATTTTACGTACATTTTTAGATATTGAAAGCATTTATATTACAGACTTATACACAATACTTTGATATCATTCAAATATGATTAGCATCTCTGTACATGTTACTGTATCCAAGTGTTCTAATTTATTATATCCAAAACCGTAATGTAAGAACATTTTTGATTCCAGTAGTGTTTGTGCATGAAGCAAATGAACGAATGAATGAATGATGTTTTCAATCATAAGTATTTAAGGCTGTTTTCATTCATCAGTTTCAAATATATTTCTAGTTTTCATTGTTCAAATTACTTTTGGGTTTCCGCTATTCGATTTGTAGCTTCTCCCTTCTATTAGTTACAGTATTGTTTGAATGGTATAGGTACATATTTTATGCCTTTTGAAAAACTCGCAAATCGTTCGTTCAATCGCTTTATCATTTCGATCATATACATGTACAAACTGTATTCAATATTGAACCGTTTAATGAATGCATCGAGGGCCGAAAGGAAGTCATAACTTTGAAAACACTCGCTATAACTTATTGTACCACTTTCCCTTGTTATTTCACTACTTCCCCCTGTTAGTACCAATTCACTTAAAACAAATTAACCAAGAATTAACTCGTGCGTGTACTTGTTGAACTTACTGCAAACAATGCATTCAAATACAAAGTGGTTTTTCTAATCTTTTAACTGTTGAATCTTAAAATATCTGCTGTATTCATAACAAGTTTGCTATAAAACAAGTTCTAACAGTCTTTTTTCCCTACATTTTCCAGTAGTAAATTATAAAAGAGTTTCTGAAAATAATAAAGCCTGAATCTACAGCGAACAAGGCAAGCTGTAAATGCTGCAGTTACGCAGAAACTATTTCTCACTTAATGAACCAATCAATGGAACATGAATAAAGTTGTTTTTCTACACATGAGGCTTTAATTATGGAAATTATATTAAATTACGACTAGAAAACATCCGTATATCTTTTTCCAATTGTATATTTCCTATGATATTCCATGAAATGCTACACATGCTCCAAAAACAGAATAGGTAGGCCACATACGAGAAAACATATGGGCATTTCAGCTACCCAAAAACCGGGAACACAGCCTATTTGTTAAGGTCGTTGACTACTTACTTAGTAGGTAATAACTTAACAGTATGTTACGAAAACCAATATTAAGCTAGTGGGAGATTTCAAATGGTAGTTATATACTACATACATGTATTTATTCTCGTAAAATTAACGGACAAACCCGAAGTGGGATCGAATATTTAAATGAGTGCTATAATGTATTCGTAATTGACAGGTCAATAAAATCAGACTATAATTGCGGGATAATTGTTGCTAGATCTATAAATATTCAAATAATTTTCAGTACTTTTGGATACCGCGGCAATGCATGCTACGAAAAATTATGTGCATAATGTGAATTATGTACCTCTCGTCTCTTCAATTTCATATATATATATATATATATATATATATATATATATATATATATATATATATATATATATATATATATATATATATATATATTATTTCCCCGAGGGTTTACTGTTTCTTTAGTAAGTGCACTTACTATAGGGAGCCGCCTGTTACGGTTATAAGGTTTTTATAAAAAGGAGACATAAAGCAAAATGATCACTCGTGCATTTAAGTTTATGTTTTCTTTAATCAGTTAAGTTAGCAAATACTTTTATTTTATTTATTTACAAAGTAACCGTATTTCATTGAAAAAAAAAAAGAATCACGACAAAAGGCGTGAGTCTTATAATCTTCAACTCGTGTTTTTTTTTTTTACTTGTTTACAATTTAACTTTCATATATACAGTGCTACAATTTACAATGTAAAAATGTCATAATTCATCTGACGGAACTAGATTTAAACTTCTTATTTATAAGTAATCTTAAGGACTCTATTTACGGTTAAACATGTTTGATTTTGACAATAAAATTAAATGTACATCATAGCACATCGCACAAGTAGATTCAATCTTCCGGGTTGATTTGCCATGTTATAATTTAGGGTATGCCATATCAAACGAACACTATGTTTCTAAATTAACATTTAAAAATCTCTGTTATTGATTCGGTACATTTTCAGCATCATTATAATTATTAATGATTTTGATCAGATATAGTGCATATAAAGGAAATGAAATTATATTAAATGAACGATACACGTGAAAAGACTTTTTCAATTTCATGTCAGAAGCATGTGCAGTCTGGGTATCCTGTTTTCTCTAGTGCGTCATGTTTTTGCTCTGTTTTGAATTAGCAAGTGATCCAGGATGTGTTTGTCATGCATAGTAAAAATAAGTAGTTTATACCAGGAAGTTCATTTAATTGAACTATAAATGTAGTGTTATTTTAAACTTCACATAAAAATTGTCAAGTGACTAAGTAAAATGTTCAAAGTATAACTAGCATAGGTGTAGTCACTCATCGGTGATAAAATTTGGTTTACTATCTATTGTTTGGACTATTTACTTAACAATGTGTTTTATCAGATACAATGTACTTAGCTTTCTATTTGGAATTATCTTCATCGTCATAACAGATAATTAATTATGTGTATTAATCTGTTTTTATATTCTTTAAAAAATTTCTATTGTATTTTGCTATCTGGATAGGACTGTTTATACTGAAAAACTTATTACATATATTTGCGATTACCTGACGGTTACATGTAACTATTTTTAATATCGATATTTTCATGGAAATACATGTACAGTGTTAAATAATCTGTCATTTTGTAGATTTGTGTAAATTGAGAAAATTGTAATTTCAAGAGATTTTGCTTGCTTTTTACATAAGTATTTCTTTCATACTTAATTATTCAAACGAGTTTAAAAAGTCAACTTTGAAAGGCACAAAAGTAAAAGAAAATTATATTTTATACAAAAATGCCAATATTAATTAATGAGAAGTCGTACTTAACCCTTTAAATGCTGATATATAAATTAAATGACAGTGATTTATTCCGTTAAAATAGATAATCAAAATCAATTGTGTCCTTTTTTAATTTCAATTCTTTTATTGGCGACGCCAGTGAGCGGCGTCGTCTCTTATGGAATGCTTTTTATTTTGGCCTATTGAAGGAGTTGTTAGCAGTGAATGTCATGTTGTGTTAATTAGTTTTATTTTGATTCGTAAAAATCAAGTTAACAAATATGTTGTTATATTTGTATTTAATAACTTTATGCAAAAAGCATGTACATTGTGATATTATTTTTACGAAAGTGCAGGCTCAGTTTAACAGCTTGTCCCTTAGCTTTATTGGCAATACTAAAACCCGGATTTCGAATACCGTTGTGGTCTAAGTTGATGCCGTATTCTTTTTCATTCATTTATATATTTTCAAAATTTTCCTACTAGAAGAATATTCACCTGCAAATGAGTATAAGGATAGGTAATAGAACTGTTGTAAACGAAATTATCCTATTGATTTTATCCATATTACGTCTATCTATTGCACAGAATGATTGTTTTTTTACAAAGTGTACCAGTGTAAGGATGTTGAAAGCTATCCGATTTTTTTCAATTACTGCTGTCCCATGGCCATCTTACTTTTTATGAATACTTTACCATTACTTTGCATGGGTTAATAAAACTTCATAATTTTGCTGTTTAGGGTGTTCTTTTGGGTTTCAGGTTTTCTCTATTTTAAAGACATTTTCTACAGTTTTATGAAAAATTAATCCTTTCATAGAATTTTCTAAATTTTTTGTATGATGAGTAAATTTTAATGACAAATTTAAAAATAAAAAGAAAAATATATGTTGACGTGTTTGATTTCTTGTAAAATGGCAGTTTCCATGGTAAACGTATATCTAAAAACTGTCAAAATAGCCTAACTGTGTTATAACGAATAGAAAATGTATAAGATAGCTTAAAACACACAACGAGCATTGTTGTATGCAAAGATAATCTTATCTAATGATTCTGAATGAAACAAATGATAATCTGAACATATTTCCTTAAAAAATGAGTTTTCCATGTTCCTCAACCGAACAAAAAATGAGAAAAATAAACATGAATTCTGAGAATAATTAGAGATATTGTAAAAAGTGTTTTATAGGATTTTCTAATTTTTTTATATGTTGTGTAAAATTTAATGACAAATTCAAAAAGAAAAAGAAAAATATATGTTGGCGTGTTGGATTTTTTGAAAAATGGCAGTTTCCATGGTTACCGTATATCTCAAAATTGTCAAAATAGCCAAACTGTGTTATAATAATGTATAAAATAGCTTATTACACTCACAATAAACATAATTTTATACAAAGCTTGCTTTATCTTAGGGTTCTGTGTAAAACAAACGATAATTGGAACATATTTCTTTAAAAAATAAGTTTTCATGCTTTTAACTAAACAAATAAACATGAATTCTGTAAAAAATTAAAGCTATCAAGAAATTTCTTTCATAGAATTTTCTACATTTTTGATATATCAAGTAACATTTGATGGTGAATTCAAAAATAGAAATAAAATATATATGTTGACATGTTTGTTTTTTGTAAACGGGCTGTTTCCATGGTTACCGCATATGCCAACTGTCAAAATTACCACGCTTTCTTAAGAAATATCAGTGTTATACTAAATGTATTGTCAAATATACAACAAAAACATGTAATAAAAAATTCTTTTTCTTTTAATGTTATATTAAGTAAATGATACTGAATTTCTTTTTAAAACATATTTAGGGCCAAATTATTTTTTTCACTCGGCTAACATACCCGAACAGTAAGCAACTATTCATAAATTTACAAAGAAAATAATGAAATTCGGAACATTTCTTAGATATTAATTTTGTTTTTTTATTCAACACTTTTAAAATATATCATTTTAAACTTCTTTGCCCAGATGTCTGCCAGTAATCAAGTCGCGACGCTGTCACGCACTTTCGTCACTATACCACAAGTGGGTGGGGTAACGCGCGCAGAATTATCACCAATGCTGTCGTACTAATGCTTGGAAAAATCCTTTATGTGATGTTGTCTAAACGACCTCTTATTCTTTTAAACCGATCTCCTTTTGAACATTCAGATACATGTATATCTATTCTGTATTATTTACTCATTATTTGCTTATAGCCGAAATTTAAACACTTATCCGAATACTATTTAACTTGACATTCATTTGAAGAGTAATTATCCGTGATTATCTTTCTTGGAAGCGCATAACGATGCGCACAGAAAACTACCAAAAACGTCTTTAAGGGGAAGTAACTCATGTTTACTAAATTATTTGTTCTTTTCTGTCTATCTTAGGTATTACTTACTATTTTTGTTGTATAACATTTACCAGTTGTCAGGTCATTAAAAGCATAGAGGCCCTGAGGAGTGAATATTGAAATATTTTTCTTACAGGCTTTATATATACCTTAAACTGGATTTTTTAGTTTGTTCAGTTAGTATACATACCTACAGGTATTCATTCTGCTACAGGAATCTTCTATTCACTATGTAAACTAATTATTATTTTCTATGTGTTTGTATATAAATTGTTAATAAAATAACCTTTGGTAAAAATGAAAGGTAGAAATTTAGAAAATTAAAGCTATGCATATAGCATACATGTCCATATATTAGAACAGAGAAAGGATAACATCCTGAAGTTATCAATTTTAAACACTTGATATATATGCAGTTAGTTATATAGTAAAGTCTTATGGAAGGTTTAAAGAGAGACAGTATTTGTTACTGTAAGAGATATGCATTTAATGTTTAGACACTAACACAACTCAATCTTTATTATATGATATAGACTTTTTGAGATTTCTTTTTTACTTTTATACTATACATCATAGTTTTTTTCTACAAGATTATGAATTCCATCCAAGTGACAATGTTCATAGGATGTTATATTTTTTTAATAGAAACTCGGAATTATTAATATAATGTGCATACATGTATATCTTAGTATATGGATATAATGTGTATTTCTGTATTAAAAGACTTACAGTTATGATGGATGAGGCCAATGTTAATGTTAATGTTAGGATTTCATATTTATTTAATAGAAACTGGGAATTATTAATGTTATGTGCATACATGTATATCTTAGTATATTGATATGATGAGACTTATGATATTTCTGTAGTTAAAGAGTTACAGTTATGACATTATTATTTAAGGGATATGACTTTCATTTAAAGTTATAAATGATAAAACATGTAATGATTGAAAATGTCCTTAAACTTGGATCAAGCAATATAATTTATAAAGTCTCAAAAAATCATATTTTGAAAAGTTATGCTAATTTTTTTCTAACATGTGCATACTGTGGTTTGAAAAGGACAGCTTCTGTCTTATCTATTGTAATGGGAGAGTGTGTAATGGAGGGACACCTGTGTCAACTTCCAGGGCCCCAAAGTCAACCCGACAACATACTTTTTATAGAGTAAATTGTTACTTGCCCTTGAATAAATTTGTGCACTAAATTTTATAGTGGGTGATTTGTGCCACATGAAAACCAACAAAGTACATAAAGAAACCGGGCGCCAGATGAAAATATGAAAATATAATCTACCACAAAGTGGTTCGTTTGTTGCATTTTCATGTTTTCGCCAAGTGCCCCTGATGCAAAGTACAAATTAGCCTTCATTAAATTTCTTACCATAGAATAAAAGGTAAGATTTTTATCTGTACAAAAATAAGCATGGTACATGTATAAGTACAGTTATGTTCACTTTCAAATTGACCTGTTATAAATAATGGCACCACCAATAACTGTCTAAGCCCTTTTTAGTAAAAAATAATTATATAATATATTGTGATTTTGGTCAAGACTATGAGTAAGTAAAATTTCTTTTCTTATTTGTTTAATTAAGAATTAATCTACCTGTTAATTTCAAAAAGAATTAATCTACCTGTTAATTTAAAAATCAAAAAGTATCTGTCACGTTTTAGAACTGTTCAATATTTAGAGGAGAAAATGTGTAAGGGACCAGATAGCTCAATAGCTACAGCCGCGGTACATTATTTTGGGTCATAGGTTCGAGTTCTGGTCAAGCTGAAAAGTTTTCTCATCCTGTGACTGCATTTAACCCTGAGTTTAATTCACTATGCTCTGTAAACATCAGGAAATTTAAGGACACAAATCAATAAAGTGGAGAAATATGTTGTGGTTTAGAACTGTTTCATTATTAAAGAGAAAATGTGTAGCCGGCAGGAAAGCTAAGTTGGTCTTCTGACAGTCATGGGTTCGTTTCATAGTCAGGCAGTTTCTGTCAGGGTTTAGAAGTGGATTTTCAACTGACACATGTTTGATTCATTTAACAGATTGTATTAAATTTGGAATGGACAAAGGCAGTATTGCATGATACTTTTAGATCTACAAAAGACATTTGATTCAGTTGATCACACTATATTGCACATGAAGAAGTTCTTCTTCTTTTTCTTCTTCATGAAACTTCAAGAATCTGCCATAGGTAATGACATTCTTACATGGTTCAAGTCTTATCTTTGATCGACAGCAGCTGGTCGATGTGGCTGGTACCCATTCTACTACTGCTCTGAGTACTTATGGTGTCCCCTGAGGTTCATTTTAGGTACTCTTTTATGTCTAATATATGTCAATGGCATGTCTGCAAACCTAAGCAATAAGCTTTTATTATATGCTGATGACTCAGGTATCCTTGTATCTGGTAAAATAAATCTGAGGAAATTCTCTCTTATGGCATGAGTCTTAAAAGATTGGTTAATTGACTATAACTTGTATTTGCATCTTGGCAAGACAGAGTCTATTCTTTTTGGTTAAGTTTCAACTTAAACTGGGCCTATCCTCCAGGTCATATGTAATGGTATTGCTATAAAGTACACATCTTTTGTTAAGTATTCAGGTGCAACACTTGATCAATTTTTTTTGGCGTCGCCTTTGATGCTTTGCATCAATGCTTTTCTTGTTTAACTTGTGTGTTTATTCAATTGTTTTTACTTGACGCTATAATATTCAAGATATCTTTCGTTTAATGTAAGTCATCAATGACTTATATCAGCTTGAAAATATAAGTAAGTACGTTGTATACGTTGATTTGAACAGAAGCTAGGTCTGGTGCTATCGCCGACGGCTAACATGGTCGATTTATTCTGTTGACAGTACGTATGAATAAGTATTTCTCAGTAAAGTTGTAAATCGGCTTTTTTTTAACTAATAACACTAACGTTATATTGTTTTTATTACATCGCTTTATTACACTCCTTAAATTATGTAATTAAAGTATATTAAAAGTAAGCTTTTCATAACTTGCACCAGTGATAAGTATGTCCATAAAATGAAGACATAAGCATTCTATGCGTCAAAGAATGTGCCAATGATTTAATATGATACACAGATAATTTAATTACCTATTTCATTTTTATCTCTTCAATTGATGTAAGGATTATTAATACTGCGTCGTTATCCTTTGATATAGCATAATGTTTTCTGATTTTATCCAGAGTTTGTTTTCTTAAATACCGAAGTGACATTGACACCGTCAACACAAAACATAGCTGAGAACACGCCATTGACACTTACATGCTCTTATGTTGGTGATCTTACTGTCGAAACATACACAATGACAACCTCCTCAGCAAGAACAGCAATAGGATCACTGCTTGCAGATTGTTCCGTATTTGCTAAACAACCAGATCTAGCACTGTACAGTTACACCTGCCCTGCAAATAAACAACTATTATGGACCATCAGAAATGTAACACGGTTTTATGATGGCGATTCATGGAGCTGTATTATAGGATTTACTACAACTGGTAGCGAGAGGGCAGCCTATACTATTAGTGTTCAACGTAAACCATAAAACATTTCTTTCATTTATCTATTAAATTCCGTTAAAAAATATTGAAAAAAAGATCTCCACGTAGAATTCTTTCTCTCTGGATTTGTAGGATTTTTCAATATGCTTTTGGAAAATTATCATATTTGCTGCGGTAACGACACAGGGTTATGTTTTGGAGAAATGTACTTGAAAGTGAAACAGTACTTATCTTTTTAGTAAGTCTATGAGAAATACATCAAATTTGTGTTACAGAAAAGGGGACATAATCAGAAATTTAGGAAAAGGATATAGTGGATAAAAATCTCAAAAATGTTATATCAAAAAAAAGTTAAGTTTATTGTCCTGAATTTTGTGAGATAAATACAAGTGTTAGAAGATTTAAAGTATAACCATAAAGAATATAGTAGAATAGAGGAGGGATGCAACTATACCGAAATCGAAAATATAAAACATAAACATGCTTTTATCGTTTTAATCCACATAGTTTTAAATGATGATAACAAATAAGTACCAAGCATATCAAAGCAATACACAAAAAGGTATAGGAAATTAGTTATGTTGTACACTTAAGTAAACCAAAATTAAAAAGGGGCATATTTTGACCATCCTGTTCGAACAGAGTTATATCCTCCTGTCTGGAAGTGGGAAAAAATTGTCTCTAAAAGTATTATTTTCGAAAGCATACCATTTGCCATAATGCTGTATGACCTTTCAGAGACAAGAACGAAACATAAACTTTATGACATTAAGTATTGCGCTCTAATAAAAATATTGTTTCAAAATTTTGAATGATTTATTGAAAAGTGTACTCTATGTTTGATGATATATTTTCCTAAACAAAAAGAGTACTTAGAAATGGTTTCAATCACAGTTTTTTTTGTGGGGGGGGGGGGGGGGGGTAGATATATTTCTCCTGTGTGTATTTCAGTACCAATACAGACTGTTCTAATGATGTCTCCAACGAACAATGTAGTAACAGTACAGAAGAACATTGAAACAGTATATTAATTTGCAAAACATCTGGAGGGAAACCGGCAGCTACAGTGAGGTGGTATAAAGATAACAGAACAACAACAACTAATAATGACATGGAGATTATGGCATTTGCCACAATAGCAGAGACTACAATTGATGAACTGATATATGTAACTAGTACACTCAGGTATTCCCCGGGAAAAGAAGACAATGGTATGAAAATATACTGCATTGCTAGAAATTCTGTTAATAATCTTACATCTAGCAGAAAACCGCAGCTCAATGTACAGTGTAAGTAAATCTTTCTATAACTGCAAAATAATGTTTAACTATAGCAACCAAACTAAAACAAAAAATGCAATAAGTAGAGGATAAACGAGAAAAAAGTTTATTTTGATAAGAAATAAAGTATGATTGAATAAATAAAAATAAAACTCTTAAACAGCGTATAAATATTTTGTAAAAATACATAAATCATACGCACATATTCTTATGATAGGTCCATGCATTTAATTTTTTAACCGTCACAAACAGAAGAGTCAGCCTGAAAGTTTTTACTTAAATAGTCGAAAAGGAGAAGAAACATGAATTAGAAAAAAGACATACGATTTAAAAATAAGACGAATTCCTAAAATGTGTTCAAATCTACTGACAGTGAGCATGATGACTTTGGTGTCATTCCATTAAAAAATAGCGTATGGTCGCGAAGTTAAAAGAATATTTCTGTTTCTTCAAGAATGTTTCTGTCAATCAGTGAATTTCTATAAATTTTTATTAAGTCATTCCAAAGTTTTCTCAGTAACAATTAAATGATACTTTTAGAGTAGTCTACTACTACCTTTCTTCTGTTTTATTTATAGATTCACCAGATGGTCCTCCTGTAATTGAAGGTTTTAATAACACTGAAACATTTTACGTGATAGAAAACAATCAAAGTTTACTCTCGTGCTCAATCAGTGGAGGAAATCCACTAGCAACATTGACTTGGGACTGCTTTAATTCTGGATCAACGTCGACTTCCTCTGTGGAATCCAATGTTACAAAAACTGTCACATTAACAGCCTTACGTGGCCAAGATAGATCTTGTACATGCAAATCATCTCATCCAGTTGGTAGAACACAATCAGTAACTGTTAATATTGAAGTGTTATGTAAGTTTACTTTTAGTTATATGAAATATTATTTCACCGCTCTGAAATTTGCTAGATATTGTAATCGGATTCATATCTTCATATGGCAAAAGCTAAAGTTTTAACCGTAAATGATGATCAGTCAATAATACATCATATTTATTAAAAACAAAAGTAATGTGACAACACATATGACTGTGGGCGGAGTCAAACTTCACATTGGATTTCAGGGACAACGTCTAATATTCTTTTCTCTGTCAGTCTATAGTTTCACTGCTTATTTAATCGTCACCACAAATAAGAATAATTATTTTTTTAATGCTTTTGCCATCGCAGCGATAAATTTTGAATTGAATGAAGTCACGCATCTATAAATAATCAGTTAATTACTTCGCGCTGTCCAACTGTTTGTCCCAAGTTTTTTTGTTGTTGATAGTTAAATAAAATAAAAAGGTAAAGGTTACTCTACAGAAAAAAATCACAATATATTTTCACTCGCACGTGAAAATATCTGTATATCCTCTTAGTATATATAACGTAAAATGATTTTGGATGTTACATACATAAAATTAAGCGAAGCAATAACTTTTATTTAGTTTTTTTATTATATGTTTGATTGAAACACACCAATTTATGAATTAACAAAGAATATTGGCAGAACAAATGTTTGTTTTATCTCAGAAACTATCACTTCCTAACTTTATTTCGCAATTACCAACATGACAATGCAGATTTTACACATACCAACTTTTTCACCTGGATATAATGTCCTTTGTGCTAAAATAATGGTTATTGACCGTGAGACGTCTATTATATCTATTAACATTTTTATTTTAGACTTTTTACAGACATGCTTAACTTTAAAGTTAGTTTAACTTTTTCATTCACGAACGACACAAAGTTCACATTCAGTTTCTGCTAACAAACAGTAATAGTTAAAGAGGAAACATTGTACATGTATATTTGTAGAAACAGTTTTAAATAACATGGTATTTATTGCACACCAGAATGTCCTACTTTAAAAGTAATGGTACGATTGAAGTTTTGAATGAGCATTTCTTTTTTTGTATGCTATACATGATTAAGCAATTACGTAAGGAATTCTGGTTTTAAATGGTCATATAAATGCAACTCAATGGTAATGGTTTTCCGTGCTTAACTTCTTGAGTTAATCCATTTATGAATAATCTTTTGAGGCTTCGATTAGCCCATTAAGGCTAAAAAAGAAAATAATGTATCTCAAAGGTTTACTGTTTCAAATGTATCTTAACATTCCCAAGACAATCGTTATTGATTGTCTGCATTTTACCAAAAACTATAATGTTTAAAAAATTGTTCATATATAATAACTAACTTTTGACATATCATTTAACAGATAAGGCATCGATTGTATCATTTGTTGTCCAAGGAAGAGTAAACGTTTCGTCAGTTACAGTAGATGAGTATGACGATGTACTGTTTGTTTGTAATATAGACAGTTATCCTAGACAAATATTGAAATAGCATTTCAATATAAAATACTTCATAGACAAAACATGACAGACACGTTACGCTACACACATAAAGCTGTTACTTGTCTCGAATCTGGTATTTATACTTGTACTGCAGAGGAATCAGTTAATAATTTTGGAACGATTGCCATAGCAACATTGGAGTTACATATAAAATGTATGTACAATGAACAGGTTAAACATTTGAAACTTGTTGTTTACTATATCAAAACTTAAACACGTGTTTATCCTAATAAGATAGCATTTAAACTGCGTTTTAAACTAACAAATTCAAATAATATGTATATAATGCAATGCTTATATTTAAAAAATGAAATAACCTTATTTTAAATAAAAGGGATGCAAAGAGGTTGTTTACTGATACAATACTTAAGCACAATTGTATGATCTCAATAGCTGTATTCTTAAAGCACTTCGTGACATCAATTAATTAAATACTTCGAATAACTTACATAGTACTTTTTTTCAGTTTGATCAATACTTTACACTAATTTCCAAACGAGCATGGGGATAAAACATTTAAGTGCATCACAAATTAAACGGTTTGCTATTGATCTCGTCTTGATCGTTTAACACATGAAATTGATGACATGCTGATATATTTTGTACATTTAGGTTCTCCGCGTCCTCTTCATCAAATGAAGACGAATTTCACGAGCGGTTGTATGATACAGCGACACTCAATTTTACAGCGATAGCATATCCAGAACCCGGAATGGATGGTTTCGTCTGGCACAAACAAAAAAGTTTCACGTGGATACCGCTACTGAGTAACGCTGACATAGTTATCCTCTCATCAGGTCTTCATACAAGACTGACTATTAAAAACGTATCGAGGTCCGACTTTGGCCATTATCGTGTTACTGTGACAAATGAAATAGGCAAATATGAGCAGTACATTTTCTTAACTGAAACAGGTGAGCAATATCTTAAATACAAACAATAAAATCTAATTATCATTTGCAATTCTCTTATATATTTAAAACAAAACATATTTTTAGAACACGACCTTTTATGTGCAATGAAAGAACACAATAATTATTTTCAGTCTTTAAATTATTACAGGATTTCCAATAAATCGGTCTGTTTACATTGCACATCTAGTTATGGATGCAAACATATTTAATTTTTTTTTAATTTAGTATTTATTTAGTGTTATAGTCTATGTTAATAGTTGTAGTTATCAAAATTTGCATTCATACAGATGTCGATATCTCAACGAAACGATTATATATTTAAGTCACTTAACCCACTGTAGCCATACACAGTTTCTATCTTACGTTATAAAACACTTTATTGCATTATAAAAATGTATATTTAGATCTGATCTGTTTTATTAAAGAGCAACAAAAAATACCAACTGAGACCATTCTTCCCTCAAAAAAGACGTTGGAAAGCACAGGACTAATTATTAGTGTAACTCTCGGCATTCTGTTTGTCACAGTTACGATAAATGCTATAAGCATGTCAATTTACTTCAAACGAAAACTGATACTTCTAGTTGAACAATTTTACTACTTAAAAATATTCTCGATAAAGTTTTTTTTTTAAAAAAAAATATACATGTATATATAATTTTTAAAAAGTTTACTCGCAAAACTTCCAAACAAATGATAACATGCTAGTCCAGCAATGAATAATTTGAACAATTGTGGTTTACCATATCGTTTAATTCAGTACAAATTGCATGCTATTAAGCTCTCTTATTCACAGACGCTTTGTATCTTTTTGTTTTAATTTTGTTTATATACAGGTTAACATTCATTAAGCAGTCATTAAAGATCCTTTAGCCGCCATTAGTTGTTTAACTATTCGTTCTGTAATATATTTTTAAGTCCCCTGAAGGTAAATGTAGACTAACATTTAAGCAACAAACTTGATTTTATAATAGTACGAAATATATAAAATAATACACATTGTTATAAAATAATACACATGTAATTGCATAAAAATGCCAGAAAACTATTTGATTATTTTTTATTTTTTGTTATCTCAAGACGCACAGACATCTACACAGCCAAGTCAAAGGTATGTCCCCATTATTATAGAACTTCATTCTTTTTCCTTTATACAGCTATTTACTTAGTTAAAAAGGTGGCTATAAAATATGTTTTATGTCATTTGCTACAGAGTCTTACTGTAAAACATGTTTTTTAGAGCTATAGGATAAATATATTGTAGGGTTGTGTTTATGAATATATATGTATCTGTTTCACTTGCAGTTACTTATCATGTAAAATGTTTTTAATCTATCAAAATATATTGCAGAACAATCGCAAATCTGAGTTTCCAAACTGTCAATACAGATGAAGATTATTCTAGGCCATCAACAAATGCTACTTCTGCTGTGACCAACGACAACGAATATTCTGTTCAGAATTATACAGATTTGCATGAACTCTCAAATGACAACCAAAGGACATATGATGTTATTCAATAATACTTAAATTGTTTCATCTATCTTTCAAAGACAATAGCATTTAGCAATCTTTCAAAATCGTTGGAAGAGTTGAATTTTCCTAGGACAAAAGTATTATTATTATGAGTTGACTCTTTTGTTTATGAGTAAATGCATATATTCACAATTTATAGCCTTAACTTTTGGCAATTAATATTGAGATCATTCACAAGTAGAGAACAAAATAATGGAGACTGCGTATACCCCTATCCAGAGCAACATTACTGTTACTGGTACTGCAGTAATTTTGCAAGTATTGGTACTGATACTTAATTAACTGGTATTGATAATGCATTACTGTCTTAAAAAGTAGTACTGTATAACAGTGCATTACTTTGGTTTTGATAAAAATGTCATCAGTTTGTCTCAAAAAATAAAAACACACTGTAAATTCCATGTATTTTTTTATTTTTGTGAAAAAGTAAGTTTTCAAATCTTACCTATAACTATAGAAAACCAGAACTTAAGAATGTGCATAACATGGAAATTAAGCATAGAGAAATCATATTACATAAATGAATTATGTATTTTTTTTATATTTTTTTATTTATTTTTTATTATTTTTTCATGTTTTGAAATTTATGTAACTGTTTAAAGCAATCAGTTGTCGAAACGGATTCATCGTTTTATGGTAACTGACATTTATTGTAGTAGTATAAATATAAATCATGCAAATTAGTTGAACTGTCTTTGAGTTTTAAACAAATACAATGACAACAACAACATATATTTTTATTTACTCAAACATGCATACAACATGTAATATGAGCATAAATGTCAAACTGTTTAACAAGGCATTTATACAAATTGAAGGAATAAATAAATAAAAGATACTTGAAAATATCACAATATCAACATATCTATTGGTTTAAACATATTTATTCAACAAAACATTTAACAAGTGAACAATATTTACAAAGTACTTTTTGGGATTGGACAGAAAGCTATAAAGCTTATGAATGCCTACTTCCATATACATATCTATTAGATATTAATAATATAGAATGACATTATTTTCGTTTCGATCAATACGCAGTGTTATCTGTTATATCTATAGCAAATATTTATGATATGTATTTGATATAATACAATTCGTAAAATGACAGAAGAAATCAGTTAAGATTTAAAGAGGGTGCTAATTGGAGAAATGCAAGAAATTTTCGACCAAAAGTTTTCAGAATTGAAACACGATTTGAACGCAGAAGTAGAGTGGAGAGCTGAATCTTCAAGAAAAAAGGTCAGGCTTAACAATTTAATTTCTTTCTCAAGTGCTGGAAATAAGAAGCAATTTGATTTTAACTATGAAAGTTTAGAGCTGTTGCATATTTGATATAGAGCAGTTAGTAAAAGAGATGCTTCAAAAGCTAAGCAAGTTTTGAAGGAAGCAAAAGAAAAAATAGAACATAGAAATAAAATTATTCGTATTGCTGATAGTTCCTCAGCTGTATGGGGTACAGTTAATGAGTATGAGTTGTGTGACTTTGCTTCTGATTTGGATGATGATAGGCGTATTAGAAAAGCAGAGGAAAGAGCTATCAATAAGATTGAAAAACGTAAAGAAGCTGTGTTTTCTGATATTTTCAGCCCTTCTGGGCAGTCTTCTTTTCGCAGCTATAGAGGAAATAGCACCCCCATTCGAGAGGACCCATGGGGTGGCGCTTCGTGCATTTGGGGGAGGGCGTATTGAATTGGACACTTCGCATCAGGTTGTGCCACCGAATACGGAGTCGCAACATCTAGATTCGGATCTCGTGGTCGTGGAGCATTGGGACCAGTCGCCACACCCTCTTCTCAGTTCAGCCCGCAGCAACAACAACAACAACGATTCAGTGTGGACTCAGGCATGCAACAACAACAACAATCAGCAAATAGAAAGTGATTCTGATGATAAGTATTGGAATTTTGCTAATACATGTAGTGACTTTTTCTGTAGCATTAGAATTAGAATGAGAATTAGAATTTCTGACTTATCTGTTAAAGGAAGATTAAACAGTTGTCTGCAATATTGGACTGATAGAGCAGATAGAGATGTATTGTCGTCTGTTATTGGACATGGTTATGTAATACCATTTTTAGTTATATTATGAAAAATAACAAGTCAGCTATAGATCATTCGGATTTTGTTGAATCAGCTATTATTTATTATAAAAAAATCATTTCAACGTGCAAATCATTTCTTGAATTCTGGACAAACATATTAAGTTCGCCTTTTCAGAAATCTTTATTTAAGGAATTTGTACCGGAAGTTTTCATATATTCTGATGCGTCAGCGGTGGCAGGTGCTGCATATATTGACTATGATGGTTCTGTGGCACACAAAATATGGTCAGATTATGAACGTTGTCAGAGTTCGACGAATTGGGAACAGTTAGCAATTCAATTTTGTCTGGATAATTTTATTTCAAAATTTAACGGTAAAACAGTTCAATGGCATACAGATAGTAAGAACTGTGTAAGCACAATGGAAAAGGGTAGCACAGATTTAATGGTTGCATAATTTTGAATTTAAAATATTTATGTCATGCGCAGAAAATGATCTTTAAATGTTATTTGGATTAACAAGTCGCTGAATAAAACGGCAGATAGTTTAAGTCGCATTATTGTGTAATAATTAACACAAGTGATAGACTTTGGCTAAGACATTGTAGATGGAAAAGTGTGACTGCAAAGGATGGAATTGTGAAAGATTCATTGAAAAACAGATTATCTGTGTCTTTGAATTTAGATTTCTAATACATAATTGTATTAGAAATTTGATTTTTTTTGACATTCATAATGCAAATCTAACTAAATAGTTATCAATTAATTTTAATTTGTTTTATACAAAAATAATACATCACTTTTTATTTGAGATAAAAGCCCTACTTTTTTATCTTTTATATGCAATTATCCTGCAATCTTGCAATTGTGGAGACGATAGAAATTAGGGTTCGAACCTAGACTCTGACTTACTTTAGAATTTGTAATTACATGCTAACAATTATTTATGTTATTATTTCTGATTAAGTTTCTATTACGTACAATACTAGAAATTAAGCAATTACATATTTTTAATATTTTTGAGAGATATTTGCAACTAAATATATCCAGATGAATGTTTTATTACGTTTAAGAGTCTTGTTAATTTATCTAGAAAACTGTTAAAATGAAGTCACAAAAGTCTAAAAACAAACAAACAAAAAACCCACAGAATAAGGCCAGGGTAGTTAAGTCAGTGTGTTACATTCAAAGGCATGCATATCTGAATGTAGTCAGAATAACTTAAATATTTGTCAAGATTACTTTTGTAGACTTTTGCTCAGGATGACTGTTGTATAGGCCATGGTGGCCGAATTTGGTCAGGATGACAGTTGTAAGGGCCAGGATGGATGACTTTGGTCAGGATGACCGTTGTATAGGCCAGGATGGCTGAATTTGGTCAGGATGACCGTTGTATAGGCCAGGATGGCTGAATGTTTTTGTTTGGTCAGGATGACCGTTGTATAGGAACAGGATTGCTGAATTTGGGTTAGGATGACTGGTGTATGGGCCAAGATGACATAATCTAGTCAAGATGACTGCTGCTAAAGCCATGATAATTGATTTTGGTGTATGATTTGATCTGGTCAAGGTGATTAAAGTTAAGACAAAGAATTTTCATTAAGGCGAGTATAGTTTTTTCTGTTTTTCTTTTGTTGGTCTTTAAATTAATGAAGTTATAAATTTTTGAAATTTTCAAATTTAATGGTTGTAATGTAATGGTGTTTTCTTCATGGAGCTGTTTTTCTACAATATATTTCTCTCTTTGTTTGCTCGATAATTCTGTCAAATACAACGACCTAACCCTATAATGTTTGTTGTTGTAAATGTTGTTGTTGTTGTTGTTGTTGTTGTTATTTAGAAGTATTTGAGAATAGAAAATAATTGATTTACTCACGGTATATTGAGTAAATGAAATTATTTTCGTTTCGAACAATACGCAGTGTTATCTGTTATATCAATAGCAAATATTTATGATTTTACGTTAATTCGAATTACTCTGTTGCACATGCCTTTATAATTTTGAACGATTTTCACGTGCGTGTACTGTATATAAGGGAGTATATGTGTAAAAGCGTCACTCGAGGTCTGTATTTGATATAATACAATTCGTAAAATGACAGAAAAAAGCATACATATTCCCGTCCCACCCTCCCTTTTTATGTTCTGTTTTATTTTACAGTCTTTTCTTAGTTTCAGATATTTTCAGTTGATTTCATCATGACTCCATCGAAATTCGAGACAGCTGTCATTCCAGCAGATGTTTTTTTTTGCAATAGACTAGAGAAATTATTGATCTTGAAATGTGATAACTCTGTCAAATACAACGACCTAAACCTATAATGTTTGTTGTTGTTGTTGTTGTTGTTGTTGTTGTTGTTGTTGTTGTTGTTGTTGTTGTTAAGCTGATTTGAGAATAGAAAATAATTGATTTACTCACGGTGAAATGAGTAAGGCACATTATGCCTTAGAACGAATAATTTGTGTGTGTTTCTTTTTTTAATTTCTTGACAAGGGCAAATGTGAATTTTACTACTTTTAAATAATGCTTTAACAGAATATTAGATATTTGTTACCAATAAATGTGAAGAAACAAATGACACACATTGGAATCTCTTCTACTATTCTAAATAATCCTATTTCAAGTGATATTGTTAGCTTCATAAAAAGGGTTATTTACTTCAGTATAAATTGAACAGAGGTGTGAATGTAATATTAACTTTAAATAAAATAATAATTTCATTTTTTTTTTGCTGAATAATTACGCATTTTTTAAAATTTGTATATGTAGTTAAAATCATTAAAATATGTTAATTTGCATACTAAGTTATTTTTTGTTTGACATTGTGTATTTATTTTAAATATGATAAATATATAAAAGAATTGGTATTAATACTTTATTACTTCCTAAAATACTGGTACTGCAGTACCGAGCTTAAATCTAGTACTGGTAATGGTACTGCATAACTTGGCAAGTACTGGTTCCGGTACTTAAGTAATACACCCTATGTACTGATGCTGTTCTGGGGCCCTTTCTAACAACGAATGTGGATTCAAACAATTCTGTAATTGGAGAAGGAGAATTAACTCAAATCAAAAAGCTTTTTAATCAAGATATATAGATTTGATTTTTTAGGACATAGGCAAAATGTTTAACCATATGTACTAAAGACAATTCTCACTTGCATTGTGACTCATCCAGTACCGAGTGGGGGTCACATCATCTCTCATACGTTTATTTATTACATTCATACAATTTTATTCAAAAAAGTTATAAAGATGACTCGGCTCCGAATTTTCAAATACCTTTCTTAAAAAAATGGCAGGAAGGAAGGAAACTACATTATAGTCTTACAAGAATTTTCTTTAAATATAGTGATTCTGTCAGAGAATACTTCATTTAACATACAAGCATATTTACATGAATGAAGTTAATAAGAATAATATAAAAAAAATCAATTTTTATCATATTTCATCCTTAAAATCCATATTTTCCAGAACTTCTTTATTCTTGAAAACATTTTTACTTATAAATGTTGACATTCTTGTAACCACAAAGAAGCTATTCTATATTTTTAATCAAACATTTGTTTTACCGGCTAAATAGTACCTGTTTTTATTTGAATGTCTTGTGATACATAACTTTACGTATATTCTAACCAAAAGTGAGTCGCAAAAGGCGTTATAAATAAGAAAGATTAGATTTAATATCAAAGATTATTTATAACGGGTGCTTTTTGGTCTTTACGTGAAATAAAAAAATTGTCTCTTTAAGCAATTATAGTCAACATTATATACAATAAATACATGAATTTGGAAAAAGGGGTCGAATAGCTGGTTAACTTCGAGACTAAAAATAATGTGAAATATGGATCTGGAAGTTATCTTTATGCACGAGGAGCTGAATGTCAAAGGGGTCTTACTAAAGTCTTACTTGCTTTCACGTTGTGTCCTTATTAAATTAGACGTAAAACAAACCGTTGCTATAAAGAAACACAAAATACGCACCTCTTATTTTGTTACATAGAATAATTGACTATGATTTCCACAAATAAAACAATAATAATTCTCTATTTGACTTCAAAAAACGGAATACCTAAAAACAGCCCGACACAGCAAAATTGAAAATGTTGCAGGCTCGGTTTGATTTAGACTGTTCATGGACAATAGTACATAGTAATTGCAAGCAATCGTTCACGCCCCCTAGCACTGGTTTAAGCAGACCAGAATTAACATGAATCCGTAATATTTTGTAATTTTTAAAATCACCAGATGTATTCAACTTGTTTATATATAGGCGGCATTCATCAACAAAGGTCAACCGGAAATGCAGCACACTTAATTTTTTACCATCATTAACAAAAGCAATTTGGATTCGAATAACTAGTAGCGAATCACTAGTAGCGTATAATGAGTTTTATTACAACATGTTGAATAATAAGGTTTGTATTACTTTTTATACATACATTTTCGATAAACATTATCAACTTTTTAAAGTGAAACTTAATAACTCCTTCAGAAATTAATGGAATGAACCTGAGATTTTTGATTACTTGATACGCTTTTGTATGTCAATGATGCAAAACTCCCTTCATCACGATAGTTCTAGATTGTTGATAATGACATCTGCTGCATCCGCAAGTTTTCGTACATTTTGTCCTCTTGTCGCCTCTTTTGATCTGTTAAAATACAAATCATAACTAATAAAAAAACTGAAGCAAACTTTGGTTGTCATTAAATTCAACTGCATTTACAAAGAAAAATATGTTCAAGCTGGAAATTATTTGTTGAAACGTAAAAGTATTAGTGCACTCTTTTAAAAAACGTTTTTGAATATTAGGGACCAACCAGTTCCAATTCATGAATCAAACTTAAGTCATGTCATTGTTTAAATCCCTGTTCGTGTTACAGAAGGCTGTCCGAAGTGTTATGACCCCTTTCCATATTATTCAACACTTCACGATGATGAAGATCTACTTAAAAAAGAGTCAAAAGATTCGTTATAATTAACCCTTTCTGTACCGCATGCTGATACGCAGAATATGGCAGAGTATTATACTTCTGAATTTACGTTTCGTAGTAGTTACTATTTCAAAGCATATAATATAACAAGCTAGCTACGATAAACAACATAATAGTTTTACCTAATTACTTTTTCGCTACTTAGTAATGGACCAAAATTATGAGCATTTCACTTCACGTGTGTACAATACTATCATCTGTAAAACACATCATGGCTGTTTTCATATTCTATAAAATTCTATTGTAAAGTGCATTACCATTACCACAGGACTGTTAATTGACGACGTCCAAACTAATAGATCACAGGTTCAAAGAAAAAATGCTTTAATAAATAAATTTAGTTCTATTTTATAACTGATGTCGCCAATTAATTTACTGATACATGAAATATTTATTTCGCTATTTTATCTTAGTCTGATATTCAGAGCCTTGGGTCTTTGAATCTGACTGATTATAAACATAAAGTACATGTATTGAACGTAACAAAAAATTGATACCTGTCTCATATGATAATGAAGAATATGTTGTTTGAGCTTCAGATACCGTTTGAAGACTTTCATATGTCAATCTGAAATCATTAAGTATGTATTACAATAATGCATATCCTTATCACTTTATGTAACTAAAAAAAAATCTCAATAATTAAACCATTATACAATAGGAATATAAAAGAGTATGATTAAAAAAACGTTTTCCTACTTCGTTAATATTCAAATGAATTGCATAACTGAAACAAAAAAAAAGATAATTTACAAAATAAATACCTTCTTTCAGTTTCTGTAATTGCTTTGTCTCCTAAGAAGAAAGAAATATATTATAATTATATAAATTAATATATGACGCACTTAACATTGATATTACCTTGATTAATAGATGATATAAATAATAATACATTTATTTGGTGTGGTGATTTTAATCTAGTACAAGATATAGAATTAGATTATGATTACTATAAATCGATAAATAATAACAAAAATTCTAGATCTGTATTGTTGAATTACATTGATCAAAATCGTCTCTTTGATTCATTTCGAGAATTAAATGGTAATTGCCATACGTTTACATGGCGACGCACAAATCCAATTCAGCAAGCCAGATTGGATTTTTTCCTTATGACTGAAGATTTAATACCACATGTTAGAGGTTGTGATATAGATGTAAGCTATAGATCTGACCATTCTATTATAATTCTTAAAATTGATTTACAAAATATTGTACATGGGAAAGGTTTATGGAAATTTAATAATTCTTTATTATGTGACCTAGAATATTTAAATTGTATTAATGAAAAGATAGATAATGTAATATTGCAATATTTGTTGCCTGTATATAATATTGACTGTTTGAAAAATGTCAATTATGAAGATTTACAATTTAGTATTGATGATCAACTTTTTTTAGAAACCCTGTTCATGTAAATAAGAGGCAAAACCATCTCTTTTTCTAGTTACAAAACCAAAAAAAGAAATTCTGAAGAAAACATTCTCCCCTCCAAAATTCAAGACATAGAGACAAATATAGATGAAGAAAATAAGAAAACTTTATCTGATTTACATTCAAAACTGGAAAGTATAAGAACTAAGAAAATAAGGGGTCATGTGATAAGATCAAGAGCACAATGGATAGATGAAGGGGAAAAAACAAGAAAAAAATTTTGTAATTTAGAAAAATATAATTATGCTAGTAAAATAATTCCATACCTACAAAATATAGATGGGTTTTTTATCTATGACCAAAAATCAATATTAAATGAGACTGAAAACTTTTACAGAAATTTATATAGTAATGCTGATGTTATTGGAGGAAAAATATTAATGATATTCTTGACAATACAAATGATATATACAAATTATCAAGAGAACAATCAAATAGTCTAGAAGGACTCCTATCTTTCTCTGAACTGTCAAAACACTTTAAAAAGTATGAAAAAATGACAAAAGTCCAGGCTCAGACGGTTTACAGCTGATTTTTATAAAGTTTTTCTGGTAAAAAATTGGTCATTTTGTTTTGAGAGCAATTAATTATGGATTTAGAAATGAAGAATTGTCAGTGACTCAGAAGCAAGGAAATTATTACTTGCATTCCAAAAGATAACAAGCCTAGACATTTTTTAAAACACTGGCGACCAATTACCCTTTTAAATGTTGTTTATAAATTAGCGTCAGGATCAATAGCCAATAGGTTAAAAACAGTTTTAGACTCATTAATTTCTTCTGATCAAACTGGTTTTATAAAAGGTAGATTTATTGGTGAGAACATACGTTTATTATATGATGTCATGAACTACACAGAAAAACATAAGATTCCTGGAATGCCATTGATGATAGATTTTGAAAAAGCTGTTGATACCTTGTCTTTTAATTTCATAAAAAAACACACTCTCTTTCTTCAATTTTGGTCCAATGTTTAAACAATGGATATCTCTATTTATGAAAAATGTAAAAACAGCTGTACAGTTAAATGGATTTCTCTCTGACTTCTTCGAAATAGGGAGAGGCTGTCGTCAAGGAGACCCCATAAGTCCGTATATCTTTATTTTGTGTGCTGAAATACTAGCAATTAAGATAAGAAACTTTAAAGATATTAAAGGAATCAATATTAATGATGTGGAATATAAAGTATCTCAGTTCGCTGATGACACTTCTCTTTTATTAGATGGATCAGAAGCTTCTTTGAATAACACCTTAGATACCCTCCATACATTTTCTAAATATTCTGGACTTAAGGTAAATTTTGAAAAAACACATGTTATATGGATAGGCTTACACAAATATAGTACTAGATCTATTAAACCAAAGTGGAAACTGAACTGGGGTGGCAGAGCTTTCAAATTGCTCGGTATAAATTTTCATGTAGATTTTAAAAAATGGTAGATATTAATTTCACAGATAAATTTAAGAAAATAGAAAATTGCATAAAGTACTGGAATAGGAGGGAGTTAACTCCTATTGGTAGAATTACAGTTGTTAAGTCAATTATATTACCACTTCTAACAAAGTTGTTTATGTCTCTTCCAAACCCAAGTACACAAATACTCAAAGATATTAATAAAATGTTTTATGAATTTGTTTGGGGTGGCCCATTAAAAATTAAATCTAGTGTTTTAATAAAAAACTACAGGGAAGGTGGTTTAAAAATGATTGATGTTTTTGCTTATATGAAAAGTTTGAAATTAACATGGTTTAGAAGACTTCTCACTGGAAGTGGTAAAAAATGTTTCACATTTATTAGTAACATTTTTAATTATGACAAAGTTTTTAACTGTGGAAAGTGTTATGTCGGAATTGAATCTAAATCAATGTACAATTACTTTCGGAATGATGTTTTGTTAGCATTTATTGATTATAAAGATATTGTGAAAATAACAGATATAGACCAGTTTGTTAACTGTCCATTGTTTTACAATAATAATATTTTGATAGATAGAAAGCCTGTGTATGTTAAATCAATGTATGAAAATGGAGTGTTTTTTATCAAAGATATTATGCAAAAAAAATGGAAATTTTGTGAGTAAAGAACATTTAGAAACAAAAATTGGTACAAATATGATTTTTTTAGTTTATGAAGGTTCGAAAAGTGCTATTAGAAAGTACATAAAGTCTCCAAAAATAGAATATTCTAATACCAAGGTATAATTGCCGTCTATTCCCTTTTATATAAAACATAATATATTTATGTAGAAGTGGAACCTCTACCATATATAATGTATTTATTGATAATTGTCAAATACCTACATGTATATCAAAATGGAATGCTTATTTTAACATTGATGATACTGAGTGGAAATACCTGTTTGAATGGGTTCACACTGAAACTAATTATAGTTACCTTCAATGGCTTCAAACTAGAATCACCCATAGAATTCTAGGAACAAACTATTTAATGACTAAAATGAAATTGACACAATCTGATAAATGCACTTTCTGCAAAGAAGAAAAGAGACATTATCTCATTTATTCTGGAATTGTTCGGTTATAAAAACTTTTATCTCAGATGTGCAACAATTGTTAAAATGTCATAATGTTGATTGGAAGGTTGATTGTAAAACATTTATTTTAGGGTATCAAAAAGGTGACCAATGTCAATTTAATATTTTTGTCTAGAATTAAAAAGATATAAATTCTTGTGCAAGAGGAGGGAGATAATACCATCTTTACAAGGCCTTGTCTGCAGTTTAAAGCTAGCATCTTCAATAGTTAGTTATACAAAAGTTAAAATTAAAAAATTTATGTACTCATTAGTTGATATGATAGCAAATAGATAGAACCTTTTTTGAATTACCTACTTATATATTACAGTCTGTGTATATTATATCCAGTTTTAGTGAAAATGAAATACTCTGAATCCCAAGAGAACATTTATCTTCTGTGTATTGTATGTATTATAAAATAATGTATGATATAAATGCCCGTAATATGTTTTTTGTAACATTATAATAAATTGTAAGGTAAAATAGTGGATAGATCCCCGACCCTATTTTACCTATTACCGGGACAATAAACGGAGTTACCTCTTGGGCTTCAAAAAAAATATATATATTACCTTGATTAAGACTTTTTTTATAAAATATTGTATATTTATTATAGAAACATTTGTTTCACTTTTTGTGGGGTAATGATATTTTAATTAAGAAGATGACACTTTTTCGTTTGAGTGAAACATGTGGCATTGTATCATGTTGAGTGAAAATATATACCATATTTCACAAAAAAAGAAAAAAAAAACATTTTTATTTAATTTCATTATCAAAGAAAAATGGTTACGAATCCCCTCGCCTGCTTTGCCACTGTAATTGTACAGCGCACAGTAAAGATGCGTGACGCAGTTCAATTAACGTAAAAAGTTCGTGTGTTTATTTCATTTCATTTTATAAGCAAAAAACAGACTATTTATTTTGAAATAAATGTGAAATTTAATTGGTTTGCGGAATAGTGGTCTTGTTTTGATTGTTTTTGCACGCGCTGTTTTGGCGCTACATTGTGACCTAACGTAAACAACTCCTTAAACGTATGTACAGACTTAATGACTGTATTAAAGATATTGATTTCCGGATTTGATTTCTTTGTAAGACCATATTCTATCATTCTAGATAGTTTTTAAAACAGAATTCAACAAAAAGTTGTTTTATTTATTAGATTTTTCAAGTAAAATGGCGAAAGAAGTCCCTTGAAATAAATATGAGTTTTGACTCCGCCCACTTTCATATTTATATTTCATATTTATCTTTAACAAATGTGAAATACATTTGACTGATATAGCACCATATTTCATGGGTAAAATTAAATTGATATTTATATTCCAACTTAGGTCTTCTTAGATATTTTTTCTTCTTTGTTACAAAAGTAATTATATACATCATGATTATTTTCATAGGACAAGTAACTTGCTGTTACTCCTCGTTCATATCATTCACTTCTGTTCAAAGCTGGTCATTTATGAACATGTTTTACCTTCTTGTTTAGATTTCCTTTTCTTCACAATAATGACAGAGATAACGACAATAACAATTCTTATAACAATTTATGTACGATAATGTTTTTGAAATTATATATATCTATAAGGAGTGTACTGAATATGACGACCATTCGATACATATTAAAGACTAGAGAGCCTGATATTGCAAAAAAAAATATTGTCAACTCACTTTTTTCATTTGTAAGTAAGAGCGAAACATTTAGATATAACAGAACTTCCGAGATTAAATAAGTAAAGAACATAGTTTTTTTGATGAAGAAAAACAGAGTGCATTACAATGTACACATATTTGTAATATACCAGGATGAAAATAAACCATTGACACGAAAAAATAAATTTTTTCTTGTTCCGTTCCTTTCCTAAAATCATTATCTTTTGGCATATTTAAACATTGCAGAAGGAAATAATGTCCATTTAGAGGTGGGTGTTCAGCTAAGTTCGAAAAAGCCCTATATGGACTGTTCGATCGGGAGTTTAATCGTTTCATTCAGAAAACTTTTTTTTTAATTGCTGTGTCCCGTGTGGTGACCCAATGTTTGTTAGTTACGTTCAGCAAAGTATAAATAGCCCTTTAAATTAACAATTTTTCTTCATAAATTTCAAAAATGGCAAAGTAAAACATGCATACAAAATTTCATCTACATAATTACAGCTGAAAAAAGGCTGTTGTTTGAAATGTAACAAAAACGTCTGTAACAATGTTAACAGCCCGCAGCAACAACAACAACAACGATTCAGTGTGGACTAAGGCATGCAACAACAACAACAATCAGCAAATAGAAAGTGATTCTGATGATAAGTATTGGAATTTTGCTAAAAGTGACTTTTTCTGTAGCATTAATTATCATTCTTTATTGCAAATCAATTTGGAAACTCTTGCTCAATTTCTGACTTATCTGTTAAAGGAAGATTAAACAGTTATCTGTAATATTGGACTGATAGAGCAGATAGAGATGTATTGTCTGTTATTAGATATGGTTATGTAATACCATTTTTAGTTAAACCTCCGAGTTATATTATGAAAAATAACAAGTCAGCTATAGATCATTCGGATTTTGTTGAATCAGCTATTATTTATTATAAAAAATCATTTCAACGTGCAAATCATTTCTTGAATTCTGGACAAACATATTAAGTTCTCCTTTTCAGAAATCTTTATTTAAGGAATTTGTACCGGAAGTTTTCATATATTCTGATGCGTCAGCGGTGGCAGGTGCTGCATATATTGACTATGATGGTTCTGTGGCACACAAAATATGGTCAGATTATGAACGTTGTCAGAGTTCGACGAATTGGGAACTGTTAGCAATTCAATTTTGTCTGGATAATTTTATTTCAAAATTTAACGGTAAAACAGTTCAATGGCATACAGATAGTAAGAACTGTGTAAGCACAATGGAAAAGGGTAGCACAGATTTAGTGGTTGCATAATTTTGCATTTAAAATATTTATGTCATGCGCAGAAAATGATCTTTAAATGGTATTGAACGTAACAAAAAAATGATACCTGTCTCATATGATAATGAAGAATATGTTGTTTGAGCTTCAGATACCGTTTGAAGACTTTCATATGTCAATCTGAAATCATTAAGTATGTATAACAATAATGCATATCCTTATCACTTTATGTGAATTAAAAAAACATTTCAATAATTAAACTATTATACAATAGGAATATAAAAGAGTATGATTAAAAAACGTTTTCCTGCTTCGTTAATATTCAAATGAATTGCATAACTGAAACAAAAAAAAAAGATAATTTTATAATTATAAAATAAATACCTTCTTTCAGTTTCTGTAATTGCTTTGTCTCCTAAGAAGAAAGAAATATATTATAATTATATAAATCTATATATTATATGACGCACTTTACATTGATATTACCTTGATTAAGACTTTTTTTATTAAATATTGTATATTTATTATAGAAACATTTGTTTCACTTTTTGTGGGGTAACGATATTTTAATTATGAAGATGACACTTTTTCGTTTGAGTGAAACATGTGGCATTGTATCATGTTGAGTGAAAATATATACCATATTTCACAAAAAGCGAAAAAAAAAAACATTTTTATTTAATTTCATTATCAAAGAAAAATGGTTACGAATCCCCTCGCCTGCTTCGCCACTGCAATTGTACAGCGCACAGTAAAGATGCGTTACGCAGTTCAATTAACGTAAAAAGTTCGTGTGTTTATTTCATTTCATTTTATATTTTCAAGCGAAAAACAGAGTATTTATTTTGAAATTAATGTGAAATTTAATTGGTTTGCGGAATAGCGGTCTTGTTTTGATTGTTTTTGCACGCACTGTTTTGGCGCTACATTGTGACGTAACGTAAACAACTCCTTAAACGTTTGTACAGACTTTATGACTGTATAAAATATATTGATTTCCGGATTTGATTTCTTCGTTAGACCATTTTCTATCATTCTAGATAGTTTTTAAAACAGAATTCAACAAAAAGTTGTTTTATTTATTAGATTTTTTAAGCAAAATGGCGAAAGAAGTCCCTTGAAATAAATATGAGTTTTGACTCCGCCCACTTTCATATTTATATTTCATATTTATCTTTAACAAATGTGAAATACATTTGACTGATATAGCACCATATTTCATGGGTAAAATTAAATTGATATTTATATTCCAACTTAGGTCTTCTTAGATATTTTTTCTTCTTTGTTACAAAAGTAATTATATACATCATGATTATTTTCATAGGACAAGTAACTTGCTGTTACTCCTCGTTCATATCATTCACTTCTGTTCAAAGCTGGTCATTTATGAACATGTTTTACCTTCTTGTTTAGATTTCCTTTTCTTCACAATAATAACAGAGATAACGACAATAACAATTATTGCAATAACAGTCACAATCAATCCTCCGGCAATAGCACCTGTCTTTACAGATACGTTCTTATCAGTATTCTGTTTCTCTGCAGAAAAGATCAGAGAATTTTTTTTTTCTATGCAACATCTTAAAATTGGAAAAAACTTAACAGGCATTTTGAAATTTCTTATTAAACTCAGTGGAAAAGATGTCACTCAGTTGCAAGCTTAACCTTGCCAAATACTCGTATTTTTAATATCCATTACATTTCAAAACTTTGTTTGCATTTGTTTGGATATCAATAAGACAAATGACATGTGTGAGATACAAATAGATAATATTCAAATCCCACAAATACTTTTACCGGTAAAGTGAATTCTACATATATAAAACAAAGATATTGTGGATAATGAGTATATGTTTATATGTGGTAATTTACAAAATATTAAATAATTTATACTGTTAATAGAACAACATGGTAAATTATTAGCAATACTCGAGTAGTATTTTCATAACCCTTAATAGCATACAGCAGGCCAATCTTATCGAGAGGAAAACTATATTTTTCAAGTCGGAAGCTATTTATTATTTCAAACATATGGTTGGTTGTGATAAAAAAAATCAGGTATTGTCTCGTGTACTAATAAGTATATATCAATGGGTTAAATTAACTTCATTGGAAATAACCAATACCATTGATAAAATAATATACTTACGATCAACAATTATATCTATAATTGTCTCTGTAACAAAATCATGGTTTCGATATTTTTCCGAGGTTGCCTCAGCTCTACATGTATATATTCCATGATTTGTGCGATCAATGTCATGAAATGTCAAATAGGTACTGCTCAGGGTTTGTCCAATCCATTTTACTGTTGGTGTTGGATTTCCTGTTGCATTACATAGTACTGACAATGTCTGACCCTCATTTATTGCCACTGACTTCGTAATTATTCCATCTACCATAATGTGGGTAATTGGATTATCTGTATTGATTAGAAGACCGATATTTATTTGGAATGATATTATCTAATTCAAAATCATTTAACACTTGGTAAAATACAGAAATTATAACTTTTCAAACTATCATCTGTGTAACACTGGATTTTATTGATGTATGTTTATCTTTTTACGGTAAACATTTTAGGATGATATTGAAAGATTTACAGAATTATTGACTCTATGTTGATGTGATAATACATTTTGTCTGACATCATACGTCCTTCTACTCTGATCTATGTGGGAAGTTGGCAATAACTTGTAGAGATTAGGAATGTATGGATAAAGAATCCTGGAACACTAGTAAGGTTAACTGCCCAACGATACATACATGAAATATTGTTGAACACATTGTTTACCCCACACAAATTTGATTTCATATTTCTGTATTTGATTTATATGTTTTTCCTTAAAGTGAGGAGTCTTCGTAAGCATGATGCTATTGTGTTTTATACATCATGAATGATTAATTATAAGTGAAGTTTATACAAGCATTTTGAAGGTGGAAATGGATCATCAATAACGAATCTTGTTCCGCCACATATCATTATGTTAGGGTATATTCATATTTTGTTGCACAAAACTAGAGTTGAACAAAACATTGACTGTAATATATCAAAACCAGGCAACAGAGATTCACCTATAAGTATAGATACATGGTTTTCTCATTTTAAACAGTTGTTTTCTGTTGCTGATATTGATGGAGGTATTGGTGGAAATTTACCCGCTACAGTTAGTGAAGATGTAAATTCAGATGAAATAGATAATTTAGATGAGATTGAGAAGTTTCTATTTAATAGCCAAACATCTGAGGATGAAGTAAATGAAGCTGTTAAAAAATTAAAGTCTAACAAGGCAACTGGAGGCACACTAATACCTTCACATATCATTTATGGTTTAGATACTCTACTTCCTTATATGTGCAAATTATTTAATAAGATATTTATTTCTGGGATATTCCCTGAAAAATGGTGTCATTGTGTAATTATACCTGTTCATAAAAAAGGCAATTTGCTAAACCCTAATAATTATCGAGGAATATCCTTAATTGATGTCATAAGCAAAGTATATATTAATATTATTACCAACAGAATTACTTTTTACATTGAGGCATATGGAAAGCTTTCAGAATGTCAGGCAGGTTTTAGGAAAAACTATTGTACTACTGACAATGCTTTTATACTATACTCTATTGTATCTAAATATCTCCAACAGAAACGAAAGCCAGTTTATGTAGCTTTCATCGATTTTCAGAAAGCTTTTGATTCTATAGATCGGCCGATTTTATATGATATATTACGTAAAAACAAAATAACTGGTTGTTTGTATAACACAATTAAATCTATTTATGTATCGGTTAAAAGCTTTGTTAAATCTAAATCTGAAGTTTCTGATATTTTTGATTGCCCCACAGGATTACGTCAAGGCTGTAGTCTAAGTCCAATATTATTTGCATTATATATTAATGAATTACATGATTTGTTTTTAAGTAATAATATAAGGGGTATTCAATTGTATCCTGATACTCTGGAAATATTTATGATTATGTTTGCAGATGATATAGCGTCTGTATCTGATACTATCGTTGGTCTTCAACGACAGCTCAATTGTCTCCAAGATTTTTGTAATCAATATAAACTTGTTGTTAATATAGACAAAACAAAAATTATGGTTTTTAAAAATGGGGGACAATTGTCAAAACATGAACATTGGCACTATTCTGGTAAAAATATTGAAGTTGTTAAAGGATTTGATTATGTAGGTGTTCATTTTATCAGCAAATTATCTATGTACAAAATGGCAGAGCATATGTCTATTAAGGCAAAAAGAGTGTTTCTGTATATTCTAAGTTCTGTTCAGGAATATGGTTGCATACCTTATAATACTTTCTATAAAATATTTGATGTTAAGATAAAACCGATTATGCTGTATGGTTCGGAATTGTGGGGTCTTAGTAATATTTCCTGTATTGAATCACTCCATATATTTTGTTGTAAAAGATTTTTACAAGTAAACTCTAATGCTTGCAACTATGCAGTTATGGGTGACTTGGGACGATACCCAATGTATATCTACTCATCAAAAAATTGTATTAGATATTGGCTAAGACTGTTAAAAATGCCAAACAATAGATATCCTAAATTATGTTATAATATGCTATTATATTATGATACAATAGGTAGGAAAAATTGGGTTTCAGATATCAGAGAAAATTTATTTAGTAATGGTTTTGGCTATATTTGGGAAAACCAAAATGAAACTATTAATGATGATTTTTTGAATCTGTATGTCAATAGACTAAAAGATCAATATCTACAAAATTGGAGTGCCAAATGTATGCTTAATAAGAAATTGACATATTATTCATCATATAAAACAAGATTTACAGTTGAATATTATGTACATGTCCTAGATATTGTCAAATTTCGAAAATGTTTTGCTTCTTTTAGATGCTCTGTTCACAATCTTCTTATTGAAACAGGTAGACATTATGGCTTAAGTAGAGAAGAACGTATATGTCCTTATTGTGAAACTTCAATAGAGGACGAGTTCCATTTTATGTTAATCTGTCCTCTATATAATGATATACGTTGCCAATATATTTCGGAAAATTACAGAATGCTACCAACACTTGCTAAATTTTATTCATTAATGTCTAACGAAAATGAAATTAGAAACACTGCAATGTATTTGTTCTATGCATTAGATAAAAGACAAGGTTTCTTAGATATTTTTCAATGAATACTGAAATACTGTTAGTTTTGTATTTAATCATGTCTGTATCACTCACTGTTTATGTATGTATATTATATATATGTTGTAAATGTTTATGGGCCGGAGGCCTAAAGACTTATCAATAAAAAATCTTGATAACAAAAAAAATCTTGGTAATAGCGTTATTTCATTCAGCTTTATTAGTGCATGTAATTTCAAATTATATTTGGCAAACATGTTTTTGGTTTAATTTATTTACGATAACTTTTTTAAAACCTTTTGTATCTATAAGGAGTGTACTGAATATAACAACCAGACGATACATATAAAAGCCGGGAAGGCCTGATATTGCAATAAAAATATTGTCAACTCTCTTTTTTCATTTCTTAGTATATATGCATGATAAATATGAAATTACTGCACCAAGAGCGAAACATTTAGATATATGAATTTCATTGCAATCGCATTTTCTAGATTGAGTAAGTAAATAACATAATTATTAAAAACAAATTGCATATTTGTAATTCTTGAACAATGTCCATATATCTGTAATATACCAGGATGAACAATTCGATTTACAAAAAAAATATATGTCTTGTTCCGTTATATCGTTATACTTTGTGATATGTAAACATTGCATAACGAAACAAAACAGCTGTTTGCAGTCTTAAAGATTGCATCAAGATAATGTCCATTTAGAAATGGGTATTCAGTTAAGTTCGAATAAGCTCTAAATGGACTGTCCGCTCGGCAGTTTCATTTTTGCATTCAGAAACATATTGTTTAAAATAGCTGTGTCCCATGTGGTGCCCCAATATTTGTTGCTACGTTCCTTATAGTATAAATAGTCCTTTGAAAATAACAATTGTTTATCATAAATCTCAATGATGGCAGTGTTAAACATGCATACAAACTTTCATCTACTTTAAAATGTTTCACTTTCATGGCAAAATAAAAAAGAAATATGTACAAAACTGTAGGAAATAGACAGAAAAGACTGTACTGGTTTTTATACTTACATTCCACTTCTAATTTCACAGATGGAGACTTTATAGTTGAACCTTTGACCAGTGTAAAATAATTATCAAGCTGACAAGATACAGAAGAACCATCCATCTGTGACGTCATAGTTGGTAAATTTAGTCTTCTAGAATCACTGTTGTCTGGTGTTCCATATTGTTTATGCCATCTTGCAGTAGATGCTGGATTACCATAATCTTTGGAAGAGCAATAAATGCTTTTTCCTGTTTGATTTTCAAGGAAAGGAAATTCTAATGTTGGTATAGATGGAGTAGCTGGAGGCCCTGAAATAAATAACATGTATGTACAAAGCAATTGATTTAAGTCATGAAAACTTATTCAAAACAAAAAGACACATCCTTTTACATTATTAATATTCACTGCTTATAGTTGCACAACAAATAAAATGATGTGTATCTAATTTTTGTTTTCCTTTACAAAAAGAAAAAAATGACTATTTAATTCCATAAAAAATATTCTGCAAATAAATCTGAATATACAAGGTTAAGTTTATAAATATTACATGTGACCTGATAGAAATGAAACATTTAATTAGCAATTATCAATGATAAAATAACATATTAAACAAATAAAAGCATTAATGATTCAACATATACATACAATACACCTTAATAGCTTGTTGTGCACTGGGTCTGTTATCTTGCCCTGATACAAAAGACTGACAAAAAATAACTTTTCTGTCATCAGCTTTTCTAGGTGTAAATGATACAACACTTTTCACCGAGATAAGATTTCCTTGACTGATGTTGGTGTTCTGTATGTTTGTTAGACTAGATGAACCTTTCCACCACGTAACAGTCGCTGCTGGTCTTGTTGCTGAGGTAATACATTCCATAGTGATGGGATCATTCTCTAGCAATATCATACTACCAGTTGTCTTGTTGGTTAGTGTAGGTGTTGTTGCATGTACTATAAATATCAAAAACAATACAACTCTGTAACATTAACATAATGATGTATATATCTTTTAAAAATGAATTCAAAGACTAGTTAAATTCATTTGGCATGAATCATATTGATCTGCAAATTCATATTTGTTTGAAGATGTATTTGTTAAAAATTAATTATTTTGAAATTTGGGTGATTAGTCTGAAAAATGTGCCAAACTTTAGTATGTAAAAAGAAGCACTATACATATATATTTCAAATGAAAAATGTTGAAAGCTACAATCTTTTATTAAAGATAAAAAAACAATAGCAAAAGGGCCATGATGACCCTACTATTCTTAGCTGAATATAAATATTGCCCATTACAAGGGACAAGTAATATTGAAAACTATAAATAAAGCAGAAATAAAACTTAAATCTTAAACCAATATTACAAAGTTCATTTTCGTGTCGGAAACAGTGCAAGTGTAAAACCTTAACTGGTTGCTATTGCTAAGGGAAAACAACAGTTGTATTAGATGTCACCGTTTGCTACACAAATGAATAGTTTTTTCTGGAAGTCTGTGCCTGCTATGAATTCCAGTGGTAAATACAATCATTGTTATTGAAAGCTAAAGTTTGGTGGTTGCAATGAACATTTACAGTTTGTTATGACAAGAGGGCCAAGATGACCATAGATCGCTCACCTGACCAATCGAATTCATCCGAGCAATTACCAAGACAAGCATCCTGACCATGTTTCAAGACAATTGAGTCAAAAATGTGACCACTAGAGTGTTAACAAGGCTTTTATTATCATATTTGGGCAGTGTGACCTAGTTTTCAACCCAAGGTGACCCATATTCAAACCTGACATAGATATCATCAAAACGATATTTCAGACCAACTGATTTTATTTGAATAAGATTGGAAGAAATCACTAAGAGATATCTAATGCCGAATTTCCTATTCCTATCTTTTTTAAGATTTTCTTTGATTTTACTAAATATTTTATGGAAAATCAATGACCCCATAGGGCAAGACCAAATATGACACCATGGCTTTTACTTCAGAAAATTCGTGATACACCCAATAGAAGATCCATGCTAAATATCTCAGCTCTAACTCCTTCGATTTTTTAAAAAAAAAGTTTTTGTTTTCATTTCTTTATGCTGCCATGGTAACCAGAATCATGCATGTTATATATTTCTTTGAATAATTTTAAAAGTGACTACCCGAAGTACATTCCTGTAAAGTTTTAATGAAATTTGCTAAGCGGTATTTTGGCAAAAACTGCAGAAAGGCTGAGGTCAGGGTTGCCAAAATATATTTGTAACTGGTTAATGCAAAATGTTTTTTTTTTTCACGAAACAATGTCCCTATGAAATGTTGATATGATTCTGCACTGAAAGTCCAGAAAAAGTATGTTTGTTGAAATAAACATGAATTATTGATCCATTCCAATTTAAATGCTTGAAGAAGTCAATTTCACAGAAAATATTAAAAAGAGTGACAATGAAAAGAAAACTGGCTAGAAGTATTCTACCCCAATGCGAGATTGATAGATATCATAAGACAATCAATCAAGGCATTCCTAACTAATAAACTGCCAATGCAAAAAACAAAAACAGAATGTGAAATCATGTGAAAGTAAAGACTAAAACAATGAAATGTATAAGAAATAATTAAATGATGGTATCAGAACATTATTGAAAGACGTGTACTTTTTCACTAGTTGATGAATGGAGAAAATTAATGCTTTTGACTATCGATGCATATTAAAACTGAAGTGATTCAGCAAACAATTGCCATATAAGAGGTTCAAATAGCAAAACATAGATAAGTCTGACTGTAAATTAGTTTATTGTAAACATCCATGTAAATGATCTACTGATAATGTTTGTCCATTAGTTTTTTTCTCATAGAGCTCATCATATAATTAACTTGCAAGTTAATATTACATTTATTATCTCCTGAAAAAGCAAAGTTCCTCCCTATTTCCCATGTCGATAATGTATCAATATAAGATATATATTACGGTAAAGAATATATTTGTTTGAAATTAACAGATCTAGTAGGAAAATCAAGTCAACCCTGATTTTGCTAAACAGATCGTTTTGATTTTATAAACCTCTTTATATGTCAGATAAACATAGAATGCCGTATTAGCTTAAACAAGAGCATCAAAAAGGCCGGGCAATATACGCTCGAACAAAACTTCGAATAATCAAAAATAATCTTTTAATTTAGGAAGAAACCCGTTCATAAAACTTTAGATTTTTTTCTCAACGATTCGTTTCATACTGAATAGCATCCCTTAGGTTAAAGACTTATGAAGGTCTAAAAGGCAAGGCGGCATGCCAAATATGCAAGCTTTGAGCACAGTAGTTGTCCACCATAAGATTTGATGTGTTTTCTAATATATTAATCTACATAAGGTATGGTAACCCCCTGGACAGGACTAATTTTGACCTAAGGTTCATGGTTAATACACTTTTTGTCGAAGACTATAAACTGGTTCTAAATGCAATTAGTTAAACTCTTGGCTAAAAAAGTGAAGAAGTCAATAATCTTAAGATATGTTAATAAGTCTCCATAAGAAGAGTGCCATTAATTAAGGCTTAATATCATACATTAAATTGATATCATAACGTTCATATCTGAACCTCTCATATTGCAAATGTGATTAAGTTTTTTTTCTTTTTTCCCATATATCCTTTTTCACGTGCTGTCACTTAGTTTTTAATCAAAGAAGTCTTATATTGACACTAAAGCTAGAAATCCCGAAATCATTAGAACAAAACTTTCTCAAATATTGTAAGGATATCTGAGATAAAAATATATTATCTCTAGTGTTTATAAGGTTTTAATTTATTTAACCCCAGATACCCTTATTTGTACGTGAGCTAGAATAATAAAAACAACCTTTCTGGCCAATTTAGATCAGCTTAAAATTACTTTAAATTAGCTAAAAGTGTAATCCCTAGAGTGAAAACAATGTTTTTCTACGTTTGGTCCGTGTGAACATTTTTTTCTCAGGAAGGCCGATGTTCAAAGCTTAGCAAAAAACATCAAAACAATCTTCATAACAAATTTTCAGAATATTTGAGTGGAAAATATAACCTGTGGAATGTTAACAAAGTTTTTCCATATTTGGGCAGTGTGACCTTGTGGCTGACCCCAAGTGACCTATATTCAAATTTGAGCTAAAAACTATCTTATCAACCTTTCTAACAAATTTCAAGGTAAGTTAACAAATCCTAATATTTAATAATTTTACGGTCAATGTCAATGACAGGTCAATGTCAAAACTAAATTAATCGTCAGAAGGTTTATTTCGTCCAAGTATAGATCAAGTTCGTGCATAAATAACACAAAATCGATCACTGTTGCCTCATTTGGCCATTACTTGACCAAAAATTATTCAACCTAAAACCTGTAAAAAACGAACAAGAACTTGTAAATCCTAAAAAATTTCATTGAAATATCAGTGGTATTACAGGAGGAGTTCGGACAGATCTAAAAACAATAAAGTCATTAAAAGGCCATAACTCTGACGGAAATAAATAAAGCGAAAAATATCAATGAGATGCACAACTGGTATTGATCATTCCTATACCGTTTTGATCACTTTGCACCAGAATTGTTTTAGAAGAAATCAAGACAAGCTTCTATGTAGCTTGCATCACAAAAAAGAACTTTTTATTCAAGGGCCATAATTCAACCAAATATCATTTTACCGGAAAACCAGATACCGAAAAGAACAAGATAATTTCATTTATTTCACCTTGATAATCAATGTCAATTAAGGTCAAGGTTCGATCTTAAGTGTTCAATTTGTTTGCATTTGAAGGAAAACTTCTTTTGTCAAAGTATAAATCAAAAACTTAAAGTCAGTTCAACCTTTAAGAATGTCTAATCAAAAAGGTTAGTTTGATAAAGTATAACGATAGACCACAATTCATTTATTTATTATAAAGTTTTAGTCAAAATAGCAAAAATCTATGAAATTTCAAAAAATTTACATGCAAAGTCATTGTCATAAATGAGCCGAGATCAATTTGAGTTTGATTATACATGCAGGTTTTATCCTAAAGAAAATTGAATGTAGTATTTCTGTATGAAGTTTATCCATTCATTTATAATAAAATTGCAGAAAGAATGAAAATTTAGATATTTTGACATTCAAGGCCAATGCCATTTATAGTAAAGGTCTAGGTTTTCTGATTTACTTGAAGGCCTATACAGACGATAATGAAGTTCAAGTAGTTAAAAGACAGCCTAATTTCAACATAATTTCAAAATGCTGGGCATAATTTTTGATGTAAATTTGAAACAAATGATACATATAAACTATGAAGATAAATTAATTAAGATTCAAAATTTAATAAATCATTGGAAAAGGAGAATTCTCACTCCAATAGGAAAAATCGCAGTTATCAAAACGCTTTTAATTTCAATTTTAAACCATCTTTTTATAGCCCTACCATCACCACCTCAGAACATGATAAATAAACTTAACAATATGTTTTATGATTTTATATGGCAAGCAAATGTTAAAATAAAAAATACTGTAAATATACTGTTATGGTTAAGGACTATTCAGAGGTAGGTTTAAAAATGTTAAACTTAAATGCTTTTATAATGGCTTTAAAGATAAGCTGGTTCAAAAGAATGATTAGCGATGCCTGTTGGAAAAACATTTATAAATGAATTTGATATGCAAAAAATATTTCACTGTGGAAAACATTACATAGATAAAATTGCAAAAAGCATTTCAAACGTTTTTTGGAAGGACACTTTTAATGCTTTTTCTACATATATAGATAAGTATCCTATCAATAACGAATCTTTCGCAGAACTACCATTGTTTTATAACGATAAATTACTAATTGGCAATAAAAGTATATTTCTTAATTCATGGTTTAAAGCCGGTGTATATTATATCGGAGATATGTTTGATTCTTACGGTGCTTTTCTCTCATTAGAAGATTTTAATAATATATTCAGGCTTAATGCAAACTTTTAATCTTTCATGGAATTAAAATATGATAAATGAAATGATGACAAAATTTAATTTTAGTATGAATGACGTAAAAAAAACTTGTGGACCAAAATTGCCTCCTTATGTAAAAAACATAATTATTAACAATGAAGGATCAAAACAGAGTTACAATTATTTGAATACTAATATAATACAACCAACAAGTAAAGCAACCTGGATGAAAAAGCTTGATCTTCATTTTGAGGAAAGAAAATGGAAAGAAATTTACGAAATGCCATTTAACATAACAAAAGATTCCAGGATACAGTGGTTTCAAATTAGGATTCTTCATAGAATAATTGGCACTAACTATTATTTACATAAAATTAAATATAATGATAATCCTCTTTGTACCTTTTGTAAAAATGAAAACGAAACTATCGAACATTTGTTTTGGCAATGTAGTTTTGTAAAGGACATCATTGATATCTATTTCAAAACAAAAAAGAATATTTTTCTGTCATTTACTGCAGACGAAATGATTTTTGGCTTAACAGATGAAAGTCCTTTATCAAAAACTAAAAATCTAATTTTAATTTACTTTAAGATGTATATTTATCAATGTAGAATGCAAAAGAGTATTCCCACAGTTTTTGGAGCTAAAAAATATATAACATATTGTTACAACATTGAAAAAGAGACTGCAATGATAAATAAAAATGTTGAAACCTTTAATTCCGCGTGGAATTCTTATCTAATTTTCCTTTCTGCAGATTAACACAATATTTTTGTTTCCTCTCTTCTTATAATTATTATTACTTTTATTATAATTATTATTACTATTATTATTATTATTCTCTACATATATGCAGACTTAAACTTTTAGGCTGTACTGACCGATACAAAAACTACACATCAAACTATTATATTTTTACCCCGCTTAAAATAGCTTTAGAGATAAGTAAATGACTGAAAAGATGAATAGATATGATCAATAACAATATCAAAAGCGCAGACTGCAGTGAGAGAGTGCAGATGAATGAGTGTAGTATGTAAAATGAATTATTTTTCTTTTATGATATGTTCTGTTTTTTACTTTGAATTCATTTATAGTTATATGTTTATATACCCATGCTGTAAATACAATGTTTATATAATTATTTGATCAAAAAAAAAAAAAAAAATGTCGCCTGTTGAAAAAAAAAAAAAAGTTAAAGGACAGCCACCTACCAAATAACAAAGTTATAGACACTTATAGCAAAAATCAGAAAGCATTAAGCAAAAGTCAGATATTTAACCTTGAAAGTCTAGTTCATTTTTAGAAGGTCAAGATTATCTGGTATAATTGAATGTCTTGTACTAAGGGTTGATGGGCCAAGTATGAAGATCATACACCAAGTGATGGTCAATGTACAAGTTTGCGGACGGCAACGTCATCGGCAACGACAGGGCCGACAGGACTATAACAATACTTCATTTTTTTTTAAATCAAGCTTTATATTGGAAAAAATACAAGCAATATTTCAATATATGACCTTGAAGACCAATGTCATTTATGAATAAAGGTCAAGTTTAGTCTTGTCTTTTTGAAGGTCTTATTAGTATTTTCTACTTGTAAGTCAAGTATGAAGAATATACATTGAACTGAAAAAGTAATGATGAACGTTAAAGTCTGCGGATGGCAATTACACAATGGCTGTAGCAATACTTCAAAAGAAGTCGAATTAAAAATGTATCCTGAAAATATGTGATGTTTTATGTACATGACTACTCGCAAAACAAATCATGTCATTCGGGTGTAAATTATGCGGTAAATTACTAAAAATTATAATAAATTCTAAGACTCAACTGCTTTTCAGAAAAAAACTGTACCTGTAACATAAATTGATGATTTATAAGAAACAACAGCTTGACTCTCAGGTTGTGTGTTAAAGGCCTTACAATAGACCTGTTTGGTATGATCACTGTTCTGTGGGTTGAACGTGAATGTTTTAGAGATGGATCTTTGTTTCTCTTGTGTTCCAATATACCATACTATTGTAGCAGCTGGTTTGCTTACGCTTGTTTCACATGTCAGTGTTTTAGTTACACCACTAACAACTTGTAGTTGTCCAGAAACTGTATTTGATCCATCTTTGAGAGTAGCAATTGAGACTTGGACTGATGTAAATAAATGTTAACCTGTTAGTTTAACTCTGTATGATATGTTTTCAAGTCCCTGGCTTTAATGTTAAAAGCAATGCAAGAACACGTTTCTACTTAAAAAAACACATAATCATAATTTACATAACATGTACTCATATCGGTAAAATATCTATTTTACCCCTTTGAAATCATCCCTTAATTATTTCTTAGACCTGTATTTAAATAGGTCAATAAACAAAATTACATTTAACAAAGTCAACTTACATTACATCTTAAATAAGTAAATAATCAATAAAGATAACAATCTGATGCACACTTTAATTGTTCTTATTTCCCAATAGAAATAATGCGAACTTTGTTTTCAATCATGTCCTGTAAGCACAGTCAAATATTCCCTGTACATTGCTTTGAACTGTTAGATGGGCATTCCCAGCAGTTAATACCATTTAATTGAAAAAATACAAAGCAAAAGATAATGTTATAAAAACCTTGCACATTTAATGATGCTTTATATGAAGTGACAGCTTGACTCTCAGGTTGTGTGTTAAAGGCTTTACAGTAGACCCGTTTGGTATGGTCACTGTTCTGTGGATTGAACGTGAAGGTTTTAGATGTAGATCTTTGTTTCTCTTGTGTTCCAATATACCATACTATTGTAGCTGCTGGTCTGCTTACACTTGTTTCACATGTCAGTGTTTTACTTATACCACTTACAACTTGTAATTGTCCAGAAACTGTACTTGATCCATCCTTGAGAGTAGCAATTGAGACTTGGACTGATGTAAATATAAATAAACAGTTAATATTTTAACAGACAGTAAACCCTCAATTACTACAAGACCTGTGTTACATGCATGGAAGGACAATTGTGTTGTGTGGTATTTCTAACTTTTTTTATTGTGATATTTCTCAGTTTTTTGTTTGTTTTTTGTCCGTTTTTGTTCGATAAAAAATGTTTTTTCTATTGATGACAATTTACACTGAACCAAATTTCAAAATGATCACCCATTAAATTGCAATGTTTTTGAAACACTTGATTTTTCTTTTAATACTCAACTTGTATTTACCTAAATCTTCTATCATATACTTTTAAGTCATCTGTTTCCTACCTACATATTAATACTGATGTTCATATCAAAATCCTTCATGCATTACTAACCAAAGAATCAAAAACTAATACCAGTCACATGCAGCACGACGAAGTTATCATTGTATAAAATATGGAAAATATACCGTGTCACATATGCTCATTGTAAACTAAAGATATTGCATGTCTTTTTTTCCAATTATTTATAGTAAATAGTAGTTGTAATAGTATATATAGTGTATAGCAAATTTGATTTTTGACAAAGTCTCGAAATATGTAGCAGATCCATGATTGTAAGCCTGTAATATATCTACACAAGTCCAGATCGATTTTGCAAATGACAAATATAATTTGCACTACCTTATTTTCAGATTTACCTATATAGTGGTCGGACCCATAATGCTTTTGAAATGCAGCAACAAGAACATAGTCTTTCGACATTAGATGTCACATGCATGGAATGGTTTTACTTAACGATCTTCATCCGGATACAGGTTAAATGTTAGATGTACTGTTTATAAATGAGCTCAATTAAACAGAACCTACAACAGTTTGCCGTTTGTTTTGTTTTTTTTTGTCATTTTAAAATAGTCCATTCTTCCATGGAGACATGTTAACTAATTAAAGTTTACAAAATCTTAAAAACTTCGTGATAATTGAATAAATGTATTGTTGTTGTTGAAACATAGTAGCATTTAACGTTTTTGTAATACAGTTAAAATTGTCTTAACGAATTATATATTGTAACAAGAAACATTTACATTTAATATCTGTTTAAAAAACATCATAATTATATAGCAGAAAATCCGAAAAATATCACATTGACACCCTTTTTCTCAATAATAATATTGACAATAATATAACGCTTACATTTAGCGCGTCTTACGAAAATGACGTCACGTCAAAATATATGCACGGTTCTAAATGCAATTAGTTAAACTCTTGGCTAAAAAAGTGAAGAAGTCAATAATCTTAAAATATGTTAATAAGTCTCCATAAGAAGAGTGCCATTAATTAAGGCTTAATATCATACATTAAATTGATATCATAACGTTCATATCTGAACCTCTCATATTGCAAATGTGATTAAGTTTTTTTTCTTTTTTCCCATATATCCTTTTTCACGTGCTGTCACTTATTTTTTAATCAAAGAAGTCTTATATTGACACTAAAGCTAGAAATCCCGAAATCATTAGAACAAAACTTTCTCAAATATTGTAAGGATATCTGAGATAAAAATATATCATCTCTAGTGTTTATAAGGTTTTAATTTATTTAACCCCAGATACCCTTATTTGTACGTGAGCTAGAATAATAAAAACAACCTTTCTGGCCAATTTAGATCAGCTTAAAATTACTTTAAATTAGCTAAAAGTGTAATCCCTAGAGTGAAAAGAAGGTTTTTCTACGTTTGGTCCGTGTGAACATTTTTTCTCAGGAAGGCCGATGTTCAAAGCTTAGCAAAAAACATCAAAACAATCTTCATAACAAATTTTCAGAATATTTGAGTGGAAAATATAACCTGTGGAATGTTAACAAAGTTTTTCCATATTTGGGCAGTGTGACCTTGTGGCTGACCCCAAGTGACCTATATTCAAATTTGAGCTAAAAACTATCTTATCAACCTTTCTAACAAATTTCAAGGTAAGTTAACAAATCCTAATATTTAATAATTTTACGGTCAATGTCAATGACAGGTCAATGTCAAAACTAAATTAATCGTCAGAAGGTTTATTTCGTCCAAGTATAGATCAAGTTCGTGCATAAATAACACAAAATCGATCACTGTTGCCTCATTTGGCCATTACTTGACCAAACATTATTCAACCTAAAACCTGTAAAAAACGAACAAGAACTTGTAAATCCTAAAAAGTTTCATTGAAATATCAGTGGTATTACAGGAGAAGTTCGGACAGATCTAAAAACAATAAAGTCATTAAAAGGCCATAACTCTGACGGAAATAAATAAAGCGAAAAATATCAATGAGATGCACAACTGGTATTGATCATTTCTATACCGTTTTGATCACTTTGCACCAGAATTGTTTTAGAAGAAATCAAGACAAGCTTCTATGTAGCTTGCATCACAAAAAAGAACTTTTTATTCAAGGGCCATAATTCAACCAAATATCATTTTACCGGAAAACCAGATACCGAAAAGAACAAGATAATTTCATTTATTTCACCTTGATAATCAATGTCAATTAAGGTCAAGGTTCGTCTAAAGTGTTCAATTTGTTTGCATTTGAAGGAAAACTTCTTTTGTCAAAGTATAAATCAAAAACTTAAAGTCTGTTCAACCTTTAAGAATGTGTAATCAAAACGTTTAGTTTGATAAAGTATAACGATAGACCGCAATTCATTTATTTATTATAAAGTTTTAGTCAAAATAGCAAAAATCTATGAAATTTCAATAAATTTACATGCAAAGTCATTGTAATAAATGAGCCGAGATCAATTTAAGTTTGATTATACATGCAGGTTTTATCCTAAAGAAAATTGAATGTGGTATTTGTGTATGAAGTTAATCCATTCATTTATAATAAAATTGCAGAAAGAATGAAAATTTAGATATTTTGACATTCAAGGCCAATGCCATTTATAGTAAAGGTCTAGGTTTTCTGATTTACTTGAAGGCCTATACAGACGATAATGAAGTTCAAGTAGTTAAAAGACAACCACCTACCAAATAACAAAGTTATAGACACTTATAGCAAAAATCAGAAAGCATTAAGCAAAAGTCAGATATTTAACCTTGAAAGTCTAGTTCATTTTTAGAAGGTCAAGATTATCTGGTATAATTGAATGTCTTGTACTAAGGGTTGATGGGCCAAGTATGAAGATCATACACCAAGTGATGGTCAATGTACAAGTTTGCGGACGGCAACGTCATCGGCAACGACAGGGCCGACAGGACTATAACAATACCTCATTTTTTTTAAATCAAGCTTTATATTGGATAAAATACAAGCAATATTTCAATATATGACCTTGAAGACCAATGTCATTTATGAATAAAGGTCAAGTTTAGTCATGTCTTTTTGAAGGTCTTATTAGTATTTTCTACTTGTAAGTCAAGTATGAAGAATATACATTGAACTGAAAAAGTAATGATGAACGTTAAAGTCTGCGGATGGCAATTACACAATGGCTGTAGCAATACTTCAAAAGAAGTCGAATTAAAAATGTATCCTGAAAATATGTGATGTTTTATGTACATGACTACTCGCAAAACAAATCATGTCATTCGGGTGTAAATTATGCGGTAAATTACTAAAAATTATAATAAATTCTAAGACTCAACTGCTTTTCAGAAAAAAACTGTACCTGTAACATAAATTGATGATTTATAAGAAACAACAGCTTGACTCTCAGGTTGTGTGTTAAAGGCCTTACAATAGACCTGTTTGGTATGATCACTGTTCTGTGGGTTGAACGTGAATGTTTTAGAGATGGATCTTTGTTTCTCTTGTGTTCCAATATACCATACTATTATAGCAGCTGGTTTGCTTACGCTTGTTTCACATGTCAGTGTTTTAGTTACACCACTAACAACTTGTAGTTGTCCAGAAACTGTACTTGATCCATCCTTGAGAGTAGCAATTGAGACTTGGACTGATGTAAATATAAATAAACAGTTAATATTTTAACAGACAGTAAACCCTCAATTACTACAAGACCTGTGTTACATGCATGGAAGGACAATTGTGTTGTGTGGTATTTCTAACTTTTTTTATTGTGATATTTCTCAGTTTTTTGTTTGTTTTTTGTCCGTTTTTGTTCGATAAAAAATGTTTTTTCTATTGATGACAATTTACACTGAACCAAATTTCAAAATGATCACCCATTAAATTGCAATGTTTTTGAAACACTTGATTTTTCTTTTAATACTCAACTTGTATTTACCTAAATCTTCTATCATATACTTTTAAGTCATCTGTTTCCTACCTACATATTAATACTGATGTTCATATCAAAATCCTTCATGCATTACTAACCAAAGAATCAAAAACTAATACCAGTCACATGCAGCACGACGAATTTATCATTGTATAAAATATGGAAAATATACCGTGTCACATATGCTCATTGTAAACTAAAGATATTGCATGTCTTTTTTTCCAATTATTTATAGTGAATAGTAGTTGTAATAGTATATATAGTGTATAGCAAATTTGATTTTTGACAAAGTCTCGAAATATGTAGCAGATCCATGATTGTAAGCCTGTAATATATCTACACAAGTCCAGATCGATTTTGCAAATGACAAATATAATTTGCACTACCTTATTTTCAGATTTACCTATATAGTGGTCGGACCCATAATGCTTTTGAAATGCAGCAACAAGAACATAGTCTTTCGACATTAGATGTCACATGCATGGAATGGTTTTACTTAACGATCTTCATCCGGATACAGGTTAAATGTTAGATGTACTGTTTATAAATGAGCTCAATTAAACAGAACCTACAACAGTTTGCCGTTTGTTTTTTTTTTTTTGTCATTTTAAAATAGTCCATTCTTCCATGGAGACATGTTAACTAATTAAAGTTTACAAAATCTTAAAAACTTCGTGATAATTGAATAAATGTATGGTTGTTGTTGAAACATAGTAGCATTAAACGATTTTGTAATACAGTTAAAATTGTCTTAACGAATTATATATTGTAACAAGATACATTTACATTTAATATCTGTTTAAAAAACATCATAATTATATAGCAGAAAATCAGAAAAATATCACATTGACACCCTTTTTCTCAATAATAATATTGACAATAATATAACGCTTACATTTAGCGCGTCTTACGGAAATGACGTCACGTCAAAATATATGCACGGTCGTTTAATGCACATGACTCAAACGTCCAATATGAAAATATTTAATAAAAAGGTAATAAAAGGTAATAAAAATTTATATAATATTCGGATCATATACTTCACATATGACAACAACATCCATATAAGATTTCGTATTTTGTTGCTATGTCTGATTTTTATTTATCACAAACCTACTATTATAAACCAATTTACTTTAACAGGTGTATTTTCATTCAATGGTTATAGCATAGGAAGATTCAAAAGTTAATTTATGTATTTCGTTATCTTGATTCTGTAAAAGTTCATGTACATTTTGCAATATTAACTGGAAAATAATATAATTTATAGCCGTACTTGATCCATCTTTGAGTGTAGCAATTGATACTTGAACTGTAAGTATAAATATACAGTTCAGGCTGTATTGTTTAAAGCTGTAGGATAATTTTTAAACGATTAAGCTTATTGTTATGAATATACTGCTGAATCAATGAAATGTGCTTGTAAGTCGGATATAATCGTAATTTATATATAACTCACCGGCATAAAGAAAAGGTATTAATCCAATGTAAAACACATACACGCTATAAAGTCTTTCCATCTTTTAAATTAAATGTCATACATAATAAAAAGTAAAATATATTAATTTGTTATTGTATACAAATTATCATTAACCGTACTGTCCGTTTATGACAATTATTTAGTGACGCAGCGGAAATGACCGCTATAACGGTGTAAAACAGTTATCATATCTTATTTCTAATCTTTAGACACGCAGGCTTCCGATATCAATTAAAATATCAACAAATTAATCAATTATCAGTGTAGTGCAGTAGGTAACGTTGTCAGTTACTCTTTTAGTTGAATATCAATGCAAGACTGATTTGGACTGTACTTTTTCTCGAAAATAATTTCTAAATATAAGTAATCAAATACGAATATGTTATATTTTTCTTGGCGTAAAGAAGTATTAAGTGTTGTGTTAATTTATATTAACTTCTCATTTTACATTTATTTGTTTTCAAAAGTAATATCTAGCAAATTTGTACAATCTAATACTGAATACTAAACGGAATGAATACATGGATACAAGTTGTTTCAACATTATTTCAGTTGGCACGAAATACTCGTGCAGTGCAAAAGTATTCTGACTACTGCATACTTCACACTACACAGGTTAAAATAGTATTATCGGTATATTTAAATTATTAGATATTATAAAAAAACTGCCTTTATTTTCCAATTCATTTGCATTTTCAGTAAAATAAAAAAGGGAAACCAGAAATAAAAAAGAATAAAAAGGGAAAATGTTAGACATTATGAGGCCCAAACTCGTGACAATATTTCATTTGTATTGCATCACAATGACTTTACCAACTGTGCAATCAAGACAATTAAAATTCTATAGTTTATATAGTACTATATTCGCTTCGAAAAACCCTGTGTTACCTATTCAGACAAAGATTGTAAATTTATGTGTACACAGAAAATGCAACGTCACTCTCACATTATCATAGTGGCACAGTTTCTAATTGTCAGCTAACAATAAGCATACGTTGTAACAAGGAAACATTTTACAAATTATATAACGGTAGAATCTTGTGAAGTTTTTATCTTTATACGATGAAAATGAAACTTGTATTTATAGAAAGAAATTGAACATCATCTATTTATTATATACTTAAAATATTGAGAAAATTTATAAAGAAATATGTCTATTTTTATTTTCCATATTTTTACTTAAAAAGTTATTTTTAAATGCAGTGATACATAATTTCTGTATTTTATTGTCTTGCCAGATAATTTTCTTCTAAAGTCAACCAATACTTAAAATCTGAGGGGAATTGGTTCAAGTTTTAATGTTAAAAAAGAGGAAAATGTATATAATAAACAGAAAATTCAAGTTTTTCTATAAATACAGTATCTATATTCATATTTTGATTTGAAAATTATCATATTAGAAGTAAATGAAATTAACAAGCAATTACCGTTACTCATTTTAGTGCAGCTGTTTCGGATTAATGATCACATTGGTCTTTTTACTTTATTACAATAATGTTGATATAGAATTTGATTTTGCTTAAACACTTTGTAAAGCGTGAAGAACCAAGACATGTACAAATAGCAAATATTTTCTACATCGTAGACGGGAAACTGCCTGTATGAATATCTTTTATTGCGTTATATCCCTTATGTCAAATTTTTCGAGTCAAATATCATTACTTAAAAATGGTAAAAGTACCACCGAGATGATGATTTTCGATGAAAACATTCTAAATCTGCTGGACAATTTTTATGAACTTGTCAATTACAATTTGCATTAGTATTAATTCGCCATACAAGTTGCTGACGGATATACTGGAGAATAATGCCTTGCTGACATTAATATAACTTTCAGCTAGCGCATCGGGTTTTCTTATTCGGGCAAAATTCTCCAGTATATTCCGTCAATAAATTATGAGGGTAATATCATTGTGATGCAAATATATTTCGATGCCATAACTTCCGTGAAAACCTGAAGCGCACAAATAATATTTCTACATTGCCTAAATTATACAGTATCAGTCTGTAGCTGCTAGACTTATTGACCCTTACCTACAGTTTTTGGATAGGGGTTGCGTAGCCGTTAAACGTCACATATTGTATTTATTACGTGCGTCATTGTCAGGTTTTTCAGTTTGGACGTAGTCCCAACTAGTGTACTTACAAACCTTAAATTTCCAACCATACAGGGTAACGCCCACTGCAGTGACGTTTCATCACCACTTTATATGCTATATTGTATTCCTACATTTTTCAAGAAAGTTGAATTCATAGTGAGCATCTGACCATGACCGACGCATAACCGCCGCGAGTGAAAAATATGATTGTATTTCTGCAAACTTTGATTTATTACGAATAGAAGAGGAGATAAAAAATTTATTTATTGAAATTCATATGTAATTTAGCTTGAGTTACGGTATTAGAAATGTAGCGGATATACTATGAAAGGTCGAGTAATTCTATGAATGGAGATAGTAATTGGTCCATGGTAATTATATGAATGGAGTCGCAATATTCAACTTACTCATCCGTACCTTACCATCACATTTTTTGTATGATATTCCAGAATTTTTTAAAAAGACAATTTATATATCAATAAATGTTGTAGTTTATAATTGCAAAAGTGAACATTTCGATACTAAAAAACCGACAGATTTTTCATACCCACAATTGACAAACGAGCATTATTGTCATTTTTTATTTTACCCTCACCACCTAGTGTTTTCCCCATCTTACAGCCAATAAAGGCTGTTTAACCTAGCCCAAAAAAGGTATATGTTCCTCTGCAAAATGTTAATATTTTCCCCTAAAACCCCTGTGCACATTATTCACTAGAACTAGACTTAACCGCAGATTTGAAGCTATTCATTTCATGGGTCAAATCCGCTTCGCATTTTCCGATAAACGTCAAACTGTAAAAAAAGAAAATGAGATGTCTTTCAATGAATGACTAACTTAACATCAGCTTACTTTTATCAGTAAGAAGACAGAAAGCTGTCCCTGTAGATAGCCTCTGCTATAACTATGCATGTTAAAGGAGCTCCAATGAGGTTTAAAAGCCTAAAAGCATAACATTTGAATTTTTGACATAAATGAGCTGGGGCAGAAATATATGCAAAGATAGTTAAAAAATATACTCTGAAATATACTGAACGTATTTTTATGCTTTTCTAGCCCGATTTGAATGCAAAGCGTTTAAATGCTTTTCATTTTGGGTCATTTTTTTACAATTTGAATACACACTAAGAAAGTAGTATTAGATAAGTTTGAAGATGAAATCTCTAAATTGATACTTTCAGGGAAATAAAAGATCATTTACTCCAATATTCACTGGGAAAGGCTGGTACATGTAGCTAGAAAAACGTATAATATTAAAGAAAGAAAAGAAGATTATCACAAACAACAGGTACTTGTATAATATTTGATGTATATTTCACAAATCAAACTGTTTTCCATAAATTATTCATGAAAATATATGCATTTTTACCAGTGTCATCAAGGGCCAGATAACCAGACCCATTCCCAGTGGCAAATAATGCCAAAAATGCTTATTTTTCCAAGTTTAGAAAAAAAATCATAATCGAGTCAAAATTCCCGTTATCAAAGCTAACATTTTTTCTTCATTCCATTTCAATCCAATCTGGTACCAGACAGATGATGTTCAAAAACACATTCCATTGTCAATTTCTATGTATTTTTTATGCTTGGAATGATATACAATTTGATTAACAACTTTGTACATGGTACTGATTTTTTTCCCCAATCAAGATGCAAAATTCCCTAACCTGTGCTAGGAAAATTTTCCCAAAATGTCTAGGAAAAGGGTTTGAAACTGAAATTGTTTAGTTTGCATTTCTAATCGACATACGGAAATAGTCCTAGACTTGTTTATATATAGTACCGCCTAAAATAAATGAGTGTCAGTGCATGCTCACAGTTTATTTTAGTGTTAGTTCAGAACATATTTTAAATATTTCTGTCAATTGGCATTAAGATACTGCCTATGACAGTCTTTTTCCTTTGCTGAAAATGATCACTTACATGAAATATCATAGTATGGTGTTTTAAGGTGGTACAAAGTTTGAAGGGATAATCTTTGAAACATTCATATTGGTTATTAAACTAACCAGTATTTACATTTATTTGTGACTTTTAGCCAATAAATAATTATACCTTTAAATAGTATGCATTATAAACAAATAAATTGTATACTGTCTGAACAAATGTGACAGCAAAAATATCACAAAAAAGGCATTAAGTATTACTATGAGTATTTATTAAAGAAATTGTATTTTAAATATATTCAAATAGTGTTATTGAAAGTCATTTTGTATGACAGACACACAAATCTAGTGCTCTGCATTATAGATATAAGAAGAGACAAATAAGATAAGCATTTTTTGCAAATTATTGAACTTCATATAATTGTTATTGCATTTTTTAAAGGTGGACATGTGTCACTGTCAAGCAAATGAAGATTAGCATCACAGTCTGTGGGAATCTCCAGTTTCCAGATGTAGTGATCATAACTGTATAGGCGCCATGAACACTTGGAACTAGTTGGACTATTTTAGAGGGGTAGTCTAAGTTAGCACTTCAGTTGAATCCCCTGTCAATAGTAAAGGGCCAGTCATGAACATTGTGTTGAAGGAAAATGTTAAATCTAGTTGTTTTGGCTTCAAACAAAACCATCACACTTACCAAGCAGTGATAAATTAAATCAATTGTGATATTTTGACTGATTTTCCCAAAAGTTTCCATGAATTGAAGCTCCTGGGACTTGTGTAACATATGACTGCATAATTCAAATTTTTTTTAATGGATATTAAAACAGAAAGCGAGTCAGAAAATATCAGACATTTATTATTGGTTTGCTGTTCTATGTATGACAATGCTATATCTATAGCTTTTGCTTCAGCAGTAAAAATTGATGTATTATCTGGTAACCTTATACTTCTGTAAAATTATTTTCAAACACAGCCGCACCTACCTTGCAACCTTCTTTTTAACCGTCCGTATAAATATGTATAAAATCTTCATGTTTTTCCTTAATCGCTAGAAACTTCTCTTTGAAATGTTCAGGTAAATTTGATGACTTTTTTATATTTGAAAGGTTAATATTTATCTTTTG